ATTAAATACTGATAAATTTGATATTATTCTTAGTGTTGGTTTGAGCTCTGTGTAATTTTCTGTTAAATATGTTTCATGCTAGGGTTTGGCTAAAACAAACTGCAGTATTTTTAGTTACACAAAGGCCAAAGTTTCAGTATTTTACTATTTGATTATGAGTATGTTTAATTACTAATAGATTACTAAAAATGCACTTCTGTCCTAAGTTCAGACATTGTGCTGTTCTTTCTTGTGAGATGAAGTGTTTTGTCACTAAAATATTTGGAACAATTAGATAGAATACTGGATTACATGCTCGCAGTACATGGGATAACAGGCTTCCTGCAGTTGTAGGCTGCTCTGTATAAAGACTTTTGTTAAGAAAGTTTAAAGAACAAAGCCTGTTTTAAAAGTACTTCACAAGAAAAAGCATCTGCTAAGTATGTAAACTGTTTTTTGGATGTTGATAGGTCAGCTTTATAGCAGTGTGTAGCTTTTAGAAAAATGATTTAAATTGAGATGAACAAAGTATAAACTTCATTAAATTAAACAAAGTTTTCTTTTGGAAGAATAGTTTGCAGTCAAAATCATAAGATATCGCAATATGTCACAGCATATCACAAACCCTCGAGTGGCTCAAGTATCGTGATAACATTGTATCATGGTGTCTACAGCATTTCCCACCCCTAATAAGATGTATCAGGCCTTAACTGCATGGTGTTTGTAGGGTTTTCTGGAGAACAGCCACCCTGCAGTGCAGTCTCTGGAGTCACTGCAGCAGAGGGCTATGGAAGAGTTCTGTAAGGTGGCCTCCTTCTTCGGTGAAGATGGCAGGGCCACCACGACAGAGGCTTTCTTTGGCATTTTTGCCGAATTCATCTCTAAGTTTGATGTGAGTTGCTCAAACAATCTGTAGTTTTTTAAAGGCTTGTAGTTACTGTGTTATAGTGTTTATGCCTACAAATTGGACTAATCAAATAACTGAAGTTTGGGAGGAGCTTTAGGCAAAGGTCCTAGGTCCTATAAATTTCCACCTCCACTTTCTGTTCCCATGACATGATTTCTGCATTCCACCACTGGTCCTCCTCCCTGTTCCTCAGTCCTCTCTGTCCTGTCTCTGTTTTTGAAAAGGGGGTGGTCTTCAGGTTCAAGAAGAAGGCACCCAGAGTTCTAGCTCAAATTCTCAGAGTTCTCTTTCTTACTACAGTCACAGTATAAAAAGATCATCCCAAATATCTTTTTGTCTTTCAGAAAGAAAGATGGGGAGAGAGTCATCACTCTGCAAGACTGCATGGGCAAATAGTGCCCAAGAATAACACTTCTTAATGAAAAATTTTATTTATTTATTTATGTTGGCTGGCCATGATCTTTGGGTACTCAGGCAGCACTGCATTAAGACAGTCACAATTCTATAGTGGAAATCACTGCATGGGCTGCTCAACACTTAAGAAAACCACTGTCTGTAAACACAGTTTGACACTGCATCCATCAATACAAGTAAAAACTCAACCATGTATACAAAAAACCTACTATAAACAGGATGCAGAAACGCCGCCACCTTCTGGGGGCCCAATCCCATTTAAGATGGACTGAGTTAGAGTGGAAAAGTGTCCCGTGGTCTGACAAAATCAAAATTTGAAATTCTTTTTGGAAATTGTGGACATTGTGTCCTCCGTGCTAAAGACAAAAGCCAGCATCTGTGATGGTAAAGGGCTTTGTTAGTGCAAATGGTGTGACTTGCACATCTGTGATGACACCATTAATGCTGAACAGTATATACAAGTCTTAGAGCAACATGTATTACAATCCAGATGATGCCTTTTTTAGGAAAGGCCTTGCTTATTTTAGCAAGACTGTGTCAAACCACATTCTGCACATATTACAACAGCGTGGCTATATAGTAAGAGTCCGGGTGCTAAACTGGCCTGTCTGCAGTCCAGACCTGTCACCCATTGAAAACATTTGGTGCATTATGAAACTAAAAACACAACACAGGGGAAAGCAACTTGTCTCCTCAGTTCCCAAACGCTAGAGTGATGCAACACAGTTGTAAACATACCCTGTTTCCAACTTTTTTGGTATACGTTGCTGGCATCAAATTCAAAATGGGCCGGGCTCCCGAGTGACACAACCGTCTAAGCGTTGGCCCTATCATCAGGAGACTGCGAGTTCGATCCCTGGTGATGCTACAGCCATCCGTGGCCGGGAGTCCGAGAGAGCACAATTGGCCTCGCTCTCTGGGTGAGTAGGATGGCCCCCCCTTCTCCCCCCATCACTCAATGCGATGCTACTCAGCGCAGACTTCTGTTAGCTGACGTAACAGATCTGGCGGTTGGCGCTTTCCTCCGAGCGCGTTCAGCTGTCCAGTGACGTTGCGTGAGCAGCAGCTTGAAAAGTTGCGGTGGCGCTTCACAGGTCTCGGAGGAAGCCTGTGTTAGCCTTTGTCATCCTAGTGTTGATAGTATTGTGTGATCGGGGGAGTCCTAACTAGTGTGTGGAATTGGAGACGATTAAATTGGGGAGAAAATTGGGTAAACATTCAAAATGGGCATATTGCTTTCAAAAAACAGTAAAATTTTTCAGTTTCAACATTTGATATGTTGTCTTTTTACTTTTCAATTAAATAAAGAATTTACATGATTTGCATATCATTGCGTCTCAACTTTTTTAGAAAATGCATCTCAAACGAATGTGCATATGGATGCTGTCATATGCTATATTCATATTGACACCTGTTGTGTGTGTTTTACAGAGAGCTCTAATGGATAACCAGGCCTCTGAGAATCCTCCACGCAGCCCCCGGAGCCCCCGCATGGCCTCTCCTCTGGCTTGGTGAGGAGATACACAATGTTCACACATTTACTAACACACATACAAATATTAACTTCCACTTATACACACAGAAACACAGAAATATGTTATACACACACAAGTGAAAACAAATGCAGGTGAAATACACACCAGACAAACTGTTAATCTTCACAACTGTACATATAAGTTTATAGTTCTGGCCTAAGCTACATGGAGTTTTTCAAACAAATCAGTATTCAGGTTAAAAATAAATAAGGAAATGAATCGTCTATAGCGGAAGATTGGTGTATGCGGCATAGACAAATCAGGAACATTTCTCAAATCAGAAGCGTGTAGTACATATGTATTTAGATTTGCATTTAGGTGTGGTAAGTTATGTGAACAGAATGTGAACAGAACTGTGAATGTGAACAGAACTGTGAGTGAAATCTTTCGTAAATGAAACGCCTGGTCAAAGTGTATCTGTATTGTTTTGGGGATAGACTTTTGGCATTAAGAATTCATGAGGGCTTTGTTTAGCAGATTCAGCTGATTCTTCTAGGATGTACTTACATAGAACATGGACACTTTGGGTAGACCATAGAGTGTTATAGAGATAAGATTATTCAAGTCAATGTTTTAAGTAATAAAGTGAGTTCTCACAAGCGGGATGTTTAGATGCATTTATAATATGAAATGAATTAATATTATAAGAGGTAATAGTTTATAGATCTATTATAATACCACATATTTATTGATTTTTGTTCTCTCTGTACTGCTTTGCTTTTTTGTGGGCATCCATAATGAATGCATATGCAAATTGTGTTTTTACACAGAAGTAGTTCAAAGGTTTTATGTTTGTCAGTGAAGAAAGTTCACTTTTGTGTTTTTTTTCTCTCTCTGTCATGAGCCTGTGATCATAATTTTGTTATGATCTTGCAGATATTGTGCTTTAAATGTAAACAAAACAAGTTGCTGTATTAAGAATACTTTATATTCTGTTAATACATTAACCGCTGTGGAAATTTCAAGATGGGGGGGGAAGCAAATGTAGCACCTGTTTAAAAAATCTGTCTTTCTCTGTTTTCTTCATTTTTGTAAGAAAACGTGTTAATTCTTTCAACCTGTAAATTTTACATATGGAGCAGTCTTTTTTTTTTTGTCTAATTCAGTTAGAATTTTTTTCTGTTGGTGTTGCCTTTATTTCATAATTAAATGTACTTAAGCCAGTGTAAATGTTATATGTATTGTTCTTGTTGTAGCTGTTTACAATCAGATTTAGGGCCCCAGGGGGGGTTGCAATATAAGCAAAAATGATTTTGATCACATGGTTGTCAATATTAGAAATAGACCTGTGATCCACTGTATTCATAAAAAATCTCTTAATTGTTTCATAAAAGCAAAAAAGGAACATTTCTTATATGTCCTATATGGTATAATAAAGTATTTATTCTAAGTGCTTTCTGTTTTTTTGGTTTTTGTTTCAGCCTTAATAGTAGTTACTCTGCGATATTAGTTTACAGACTCTTTCCTGGTTCTCTTCATAAAGCTCACCTGTTGGCCTCCTATTTGTTATATAGACATCCCATTTGTTGCTGTTTTGAAGCAAACAGTAGTGGTTGATATAGCCCAGTGGGCAGCATCGCTGAGTGGGGTTCAATTCCCTGCCCCAACCATGCTATACCAATAAGAATCCTTGGGCAAGACTCTTAATGTTGTGTTCATCTACCACTGTAACATTTTTCAATTTTACGTTGCTCTTGATAAGAGCATTTGCCAAATACATAAATGTAAACACTGTAGTATTGTTTATAGCTCCTGAGAGCAGTGTTTATGTTGCCTTGGCCCTGAGAATTTTCCTGAATGTTCTAAATTGGGAACAATGCGAAGGAGTTGATGATTGTTGTTGGCAATGATTAATGTACTGCAATACCATGCACTTGTATACAGACTTTCAATATGCAAACTTTTCAACTGAGTATCACTATCACAAGCAGTTTAGCTCCTGTGTTATATATATTGCCATTGGTTTGAAAGAGTTTATTTAAAGGTTTCTTTGCTTTGTGCTAAGAAGTTTTCTTATGCTGCTGTCACTCTACTATGTATAACTTACTGTGGATAATTGCTGTTGCAACATTGTTCTGTTACCTTTGCGGTAATAAAACCTCCTTACATTTTAACCAGCTTGTGTGTGTGGTCTTATATAAGGCATGAAGGAAAGGTGGAGTTTGATCCCTTCACCAGCTTCCAGACAGCTATGACAATATTATAAATGTCTGAAGGGTGAGACACTTGGCTTGTGGAGCCATGCATATGCCCCGGGGAGGAAGATTCATTCTCCATCACTGACCGAACGCCGGTGAGTCTATCTGTCCGCTTCCCTTCACTGCATGTACTGATAGATGCCAGATGGTGTTATTCAAACCCACTTTACTGCACCTGTCTAACGAGTGTGGGAGATTGCTTTAACAGTAGAGAGCGAGTCAGTATTGAAATCTCTCCGCACGGAGACGTTCTATTTAATAGTAATGATGTGTTCATATTACATGGTAGTGGTTGGTATTGTTTTTTGTAAAACAAGTTAAATGCATGTAAATAAACCATACATAAACTGTATTTTAACTGCACTGCTGTTACTTAACAGCAATAGAATGTAAATTCACAAGAACAAATCACCTTTTTCTCAGACATTTGCGTTTATTTTATCGGTTGTTACTGTTATTATTATGGTAAAATAGATTAAAAGGCAGTATATGGCTGATTTTAACCATAACTAAAAAACATGTTTTTACTGTTATTTAACAGGTTGTTTCTGGCACCCTGGCTGCCAGACACAGTTATATATATATATATATATATATATATATATATATATATATATATATATATATATATATATTTCATGCATTTCTCAGAAATTACTTAAAAATGTTTTTTCCAAACCATTACTTTGGAAATTGGCCTAAACCATATTTATAAAATTAAATAGGATTTGCAGACTTGATGGTAAACAAAATGTTGTCAAGTAAATTGAACATGTTTACTACAATTAAAAAAGGAGAAAATCTAGTTAGAAAGGTCTGTTTTATGAGCGCAATCATAAACTCTTAGCAGAAAGGGTTTTAAGGGGCTCATAAATCAAAAAAAACATTCTGTGACTTGTAACAGTGGAAGCCACTTATAATGGAAAGTAAATGAACATGTGTGGAACAGAGGTTTAAAGGTTTAAAATGGCTTTGTAATTTAGTCCTGAAAACAAACTTATATATACTGCATCAATATATGGACCATTCTACTAGGTATAAAGTCACAACCAAAAACAAATTTTGGACTTTTAACTGACTTGGACTTCAGACTAAAATCAGCGGTGACAATTCTTAATGGTACTTACTGATTTTCAGATTTTGGGATGCATTTACTTCAAAACAATGGGATCTAGCTGCTCGCCATGTGGCCATGAGGGACAGGGATGCAGTCTCACTTCCTGCTCTAAAATGCAGGGGTGTGGCTAAGGACAGAATTTTTTTAAATAGTTTTATTTTATTTAAAAATTCATGATAAATGTAACTTTTTCAACTTCACTTTAAAAAAAATGCAAAGTATTTTTAAGTATTATATTACAAATTGAAGTTTAGAGGTTAAGATTTAGGAGTAGCTCCCAGTAGAAAGTACCCTATAAATGAGAATTTTGTATATATGTAGTTCATTACTTTGTCAATTATTGCCTTTGGTTTAAATAAATAACGTAATTCTTGTAAATATCTAAAAGCAATTTTATATTTTTTGTCTTGTGGGATCACAGTTTGAACTTATTTGGCGGAATGTTCAATATGTATGTATGCATGTAAGGAAACAATCGGCCAGCTGCATTTGTCATACCATAGATAATATTACTGTATTTATTACGAATATTTTTCCATACCAGTTTCAGATACTGCTGGCTGTCGTGTTGATTTGCTGCGTGAATGTATGACTAAAAATGCTGTAAATTAATGCGCAAATGGAAAATGTAGTCTGTCTTGTCATGCTGACACTAAATGACTGACCATGTTTAGGAGTCAAAAAATAATAACCAGCTTCTGTTTTTATTTTAGTGTGAAACGCACTTGCTTTGTGAACTGCTTGACCTTTGACCTCATGGCTAGCACCGAGATACCCAGTGTCTCCCCTGCACCCACTGAAGGGGACTCAAAGCAAAAACAGACCCTGCCTGCTGCTGATATAGTGGTGCTTGTTGTGTATTTCCTGTTGATCCTGGCAGTAGGAATATGGGTAGGTTTCTTCAAGACAAACCTTGTGTCACAAAAAAGGCCTTATAACTCCTGTATTTATTTTAGTGAATAAAAGTGGATTTAAAATCCTCCGAAACCCATCTATTTTTTCTCAAATGATTCTACAGTGGCTGTGATTCCATCTTTTAAATGTTATATACATACTCTGTTGATTTGTTTGTGCCTGGAGAGAAATTTTTTTGTGCCTATGATTGTTATGACTGTCCATAATGTAACTTGTTTATGCCATTATATCTGTTGAATATTCCTTGTATCTTAATGTCCTCCTTGGCTGACTTCTAGTCTATGTGGAAAACTAAGAGAAGCACAGTGAATGGATATTTTCTAGCAGGCAAAAACATGTCTTGGTGGCCGGTGAGTCCTAACATTTGCCATAATCCACTTAAAAATAAAACCAGTGAATTCTAGACCTTTTCATGAACTTTATCCACTGGGTCCAATGGGTGACCAGTTGATTCCTGATTGCCATGCTGTGTCTGCAGGTGGGCACGTCTCTGTTTGCCAGTAACGTGGGCAGTGGTCACTTCATGGGGCTGGCTGGGTCAGGGGCTGCATCTGGCATCGGCACTACGGCATACGAGTGGAATGTAAATATGAGATATATCGATTAAATTAAAGACAGATTTACTTTGCCAAAATACCATTTTTTGCAGCATACAATGCAAATTAGCATTGTAAACATATTCTGATTATTATATGTAATATTGATAATGTTATCAATATTACATATTACAATACTGTTAAATCTAAAACAAACTTTTTTTGTTGAGTGCTGTTTTGCCTTAAATCACCCTGCATGTACCTTTCTGTCATGAATTAGCTGCAAAAATAAATTTTTTTGGGAAAAGCATATCACAGATTTTTTACAAAATAGTGTCTCAGGCATCAGGCGACATATTCGCAACTATTTCCTGTGAAACACCTTTTAAACACTTCATTAAACACATCAGACATCAGGTTCCTATCACCATTGCTGTGAACGGTTCTCATTTGGGAAGTTTCTGAATTTTGCAGACTTGTCAAAAGATTAGTGGAACTTGCCTAAAATAAATAAGGAGTGAAATAAAAAATATCTTCACTAAACATTATGTATATTTGTGGTTAGATTTAGTTGCAGAACCTACTATTAACTATAGTTAAATATGAACTATAGTTAAATATTAACTATAGTTAAATAAAAATAAGAATGTGGGTTTAATGGAATAAGGATGTAATTTTTTACAATATATAAACTTCAGAATTGTAACTCAAACATGGAATTGTGGGAACGGATGAGGAATCCCAACTGAAACATGTTATTTGACCACTGTGGTAGAATACACATTTTAGGCATTTTATAGAAGTTTTGGGCACTCAAACTGAAATAATACCTGAGTCAAGATGGTGCATCATCATCTCATTCATGCTAGATCATTTCCTATAGAATTGTGGGAAATGAATTTTACTGAAGGTCAATGACATTAATTGATCTCACCATTCTCACTGGCAGGGTATGCTAATGGTCCTGCTCTTAGGTTGGCTCTTCCTGCCCATCTACATCGCTTCAGGGGTGAGATGGTCCATCCACACTTCCAGAATGTATATTACAATATGTGACTGACTTTATATGTCAATATAGCAGACTATATTGTATAGACATATATAGACTATATATGTCTGTATTTCATATATACTGCATGTTCAACAAAGCTATTTAAATGTTCTTCTAGGTGACAACTATGCCTGAGTATCTCCAGCGAAGATTTGGAGGCAAAAGAATACAGATTTTTATTGCTGTCTTGTATTTACTTATTTACATCTTCACAAAAATATCAGTAAGTGTGTTGTGCTTTTGAGGTGTTGTTTAATATGCTGATTATTTAATATTGTAAGATATTTTTCTTCACCGGTCGGGGAATAGCACCAATGGAAATTGAATGAGCTTCCACTGGTGGAATGTCTAAACTCTACCATTGCCTTGCAGGTGGATATGTATGCCGGTGCTGTGTTCATTCACCAGGCTCTTGGCTGGGATATTTATCTAGCGGTGATTCTTCTCCTCGTCATTACTGCACTCTACACAGTAGCAGGTGAGAAGGCCGTTTGTATCTCACTACAGGGGGCTCAACATAAGACACTAAGCTCCCTTGATTCTTTTAAAACAACATACAGCAATTTAGATCCAGGAACATGAATTGTTTTCTTGAAGTAAGCAAGGCTCCAAAGCAGTCTGGGTAACTGAAGCAATTATTATAAACATGGAATTTATCTAGGAACAAACCTAGAGACGTCACAGTTCTAGAGCAACTAATTTGAATTTGTAATCTCTGCTGCTTGTTAATAATTATTTTTTATTGTATGCAGACAGACAGTTCCAGTACATTGACTAATGATTAATCACAAGCCTACCCATCAAATGAGAAGACATTGTTTACACAGCTAGATGAACTTGAATTTCTTCTGAGTGCCAAAATCATGATTATTACAGTGTCATTACTGAATCCTCCTGAGCTCCACCTTATTTTCTGAGCCCTCCAGTCACTGTTATGTAATGAATGAGTTTTAATTTTATTCTAACAGATTTAATCTGTTGGGGTTGGAATGCAAGAACTAAAACATTAAAATATGTACTGCTTCCATATATAATATATATATATATATATATTTATATATAAATATATGTGCATCCATAGTAAGGTTCATGTCCGCTTGTGTATATGTGTGGTGCTGTTCATTAATGTAACATACTCTAATTAGTGTCTCCACTATATGTTAGCCTCTATTGTAGATTTATGTTTATGTACATTGCTACTACAATACACAGGTGAATTAGTACTAGTATTTGACTAGTACTCATTTTAAACTGATACTTTGAGCACAGATATTGGCAGAGATGGGTAACAACTAGTTCCATTTAATCAGTTTTATGTACCCTGGTAACAGTTTGATGCCTTGGTACTTTCCTGAGTATTTTTTAAATGGTAATTAAAACCTTTTCTTCTACTGAAGTATATCTGTGAACAAAAGAAACTACTTTTTACTTAGTTTCATTTTAGTCATAAACATTTATGAACTTTTTTCTCTTTAATTTCTTTCTATTTTGTTGGTTCAGAACCAGTACTGCTTTGTGATTAATTACAGCTCTGAACGGAAGAAGAGCACATGGTTGGACTTTTCACCTCAGTTCTATGAGTGACCAAGTAGTTTTTGACCTGCTGCTTTTATATTTGTAATTGTAAGTTGTTTTTTGGAAAGGTACTTTAACTTTTACTTGAGTTGTTATTATCATTAAAACAAGAAGTTTTAATTAAGTATGGTTTTAGGCTCCATTACCCACCTTGTTGGATTGAGGTATCCATAACTCTAAAACTGGGAAAGCATTATCAGATGGAAGAAGTATGAATAGCTGTGTGTCATTTATGCTTATTCTTTTGTAGCAGATGGTAAAAATGTGCTGCAGCTGTGGCAGCATGTCTGTGATTATTGATGCATAGTTTGTCCTGTTCAAACTATGATGCATAGTTTGTCCTGTTCAGTCAGAGTACAGTGATTTATCTTGTGAACAGTTTTTAACAGTGATCTCTGTGCACCATTGTGAGGAACGCTAACCTTGATGACGTTTCAGGTGGTCTCGCAGCGGTCATCTACACTGATGCGGCTCAAACTCTCATCATGCTGGTGGGGGCCCTGACCCTCATGGGCTTCAGTATGTACCACTTAGCATCTCTGATTTATTTACTGCCAGTACTTGTGCAAGCCTCTGAATTTGCTTCACTGAAGCCGGTTCCATGTATTATCCTTTAACTTCCACGTTTGCTTTTCTCTCATTCTTCTTTGTGTGGAGGTTTTGTGGAGGTTGGGGGTTGGCAGGCTCTCTTTGATGGCTACAGTAACGCCATCCCCTCAGTCAGAGACCCAAACACTACCTGTGGGATCCCACGTGAAGATGCCTTCCACCTGTTCCGCGATCCTGTGACCTCTGACCTGCCCTGGCCAGGCGTGCTGCTGGGCATGTCTATCCCCTCCATGTGGTACTGGTGTTCTGACCAGGTGAGCGAGGGAATGTCTTGAAAAATGCTGAATTTTGGTTCGGGCCAAATGTTGCACATGTATGTAATATTTTTTATATGCACAAATAGATGTACATATATTTTTCCATACGGGTTCTCCTCATAGAAAAACGATTTCTATAATAACAGGTTATTCTCATGCAGATGCATTTTACATTTTTTTTATTACTATTTTAACCTTGATGGTGTTCAATTTTACCGGTGCCATCTATTGCTGTATTGTGTGAGCTGAAACTTTTTCTTCTTCCTTTTGAGAATCTGTTATTGTGTCTATAGAAGACTTTACAACTTTATACAGTTGATATTTTCCAGTTTGTCCTCCGGCTGAACCTAGAAAATGTGTGTATGCAGGTTATAGTGCAGCGCTCACTGGCTGCTAAGAACCTGCTGCATGCTAAAGGAGGCTCTCTACTGGCTTCTTATCTCAAAGTCCTGCCCTTTTTCATGATGGTGCTGCCAGGCATGATCAGCAGAATCCTGTTTCCAGGTATTCCTGCTAACATTAGTTTGCTTATTTAGCAAGGAATGATGCTATAGCTAGAGATGGTACTGATTCGATTCCAGGTATTGGTATTAGGCCAGTTATATCCAATCCAATCAAATATATCCTGAAATATCACACACTTGTGTTTGGTGAAGTGATGTTGTTAGCTGTGTATTTCTTCCTGTGGGGTAGTAGAGTTTTTCAGTAGTTTTCTGTAGTTTGAACATGATAACCTACTCACCTTAGGTGAAGTAGTTTTAAAGAAAAATTATTGGATCGTATTGGTATCGGCTTATTCTGAAGGTTTCAATGTCGATATTGGTTTTGGAAAGAATAAGTAGTTATTTTAGCATATTCTTCAGAACGTTTTACGCAAGTTTTCACACACACACATGGATGCGGGAAGTGCAGGTGTTGAGGTGGCTGCAGCACCCCCAGATTTCAGGATTGTTTAAAATTGCTTAAAATACTTTTTTAAGGAGATAATAATAATAATAATAATAATAATAATAATAATAATAATAATAATAATAACAACATTTTATTTCTATAAAAATGTATTATATAATTTATTTATTAAATAAAAATATAAGAACTCAACTTTGTTGTAAAGACATATATGTGCTTTTAAAGGGTGAAGTTCTTTTATTAAATATTTTTAAAATCAGCAGTAGCTGTGGACTGTTTAACCCCTTAAAATCCCAGGTTTATGACATACAAAGGCTTATTATTTAGTAACTACACAGACTACAATGCAAACTAGCTGAGTAATTCTCAGGTTAATGAAGTGTGTAGTAAAACTTTGACCATTAAAGGGGTTAAAGAGAGCTGAGTTGCTTCCCTTTCCAACTGTTGGCAGCTCTGGGAGCATGTTGCTAAAACACAATCAATATAGTCATGTTTTTTAAACTTAAAAAAATCATCTCACATTATAATGTCCCAATTTTATAATGTAATATTGAATATTATAGCGTGTTATGACACATTCTGTTTGATGTAAATTATCCCAAAAATTAACATGCAAAAAAAAATGCCATGTTATTCTTGCATGATGTAGGTCATGTATATGCCTCTTAAAATTTCAGCACTCCCATCTCAAAACACCATCCCACGTCCCTGTTTACACATTTAAACACATTTCACATTGAAAACTGGTGAACTATTAAATCAGCCAAAGTGAATGATATCATTTGTATGTTTTTGTCTTTCTGTGATGTAGATGAGGTGGGCTGTGCAGACCCTGTGGCATGTAAAGAGATCTGTGGAAATTCTGTGGGCTGCTCGGACATTGCTTACGCCAAACTGGTCATGGAACTCCTTCCTTCAGGTGAAAAGTTTGGTCTTTTGCCATTCCACTTAGCAGTATGTTTTGGTGATTTTCTTGGTATCTGGAAATTTGACAGTTGAGGTGTATGTGTAGGTTTGCGGGGTCTGATGATGGCTGTGATGCTGGCGGCTCTTATGTCATCTCTGACTTCCATCTTCAACAGCTCCAGCACTCTGTTCACCATGGACCTGTGGAGACACTTCCGCCGCGCTGCCTCTGAGTGGGAGCTCATGATTGTGGGCAGGTGAGATGCCACTTAATGCATATCACTCATTTACTAATGCTCAGGCTATTTAACAGAAGAGCTTATATGAAAGAGGTGAGATATTCATGTGTCTTTCTTTAACACTTAGACATATACATGTTACTGTTGTTCTGCTATGTTTGCTATTTTATTTGCTATACTAATTACTATTTAAATGTAATTATGTAATTACAAAATAATAAGTACTTAGTGAGTTATGTAATGCATTACATATGACTCACACACTATATTAGCAGGTTCAAGTCTGCACTTTTGGCTTACACTATATGGACAAAAGTATTGGGTTCAGGTGTTTTAGCCACACCCATTGCTAACAGGTGGATAAAATTTAGCAGTGGTGTTTCCCACCAGTGGTGTTAAGCATGCTGCCACTGGACCCTGGAGCAGTGGAAACGTATTCTGTGGAGTGATGAATCACGCTTCTCTCTCTGGCAGTCTGATGGATGAGTCTGGGTTTGGCGAATGCCAGGAGAACATTACCTGCCTGACTGCATTGTGCCAACTGTAAAGTTTGGTGGAGGAGGGATAATGCTATGGGGTTGTTTTTCAGGGGTTGGCCTAGAGCCCTTAGTTCCAGTGAAGGGAAATGCTTCAGCAGACCAAGACATTCTGGGCAGTTCTATGCTTCCATCTTTGTGGGAACAGTTTGGGGAAGGCCCTTTCCCAGCATGTTCCAGCATGACTGTGTCCCAGTGCACAAAGCAAGGTCCATAAAGGCACAGTTGGGTGAGTTTGGTGTGGAAGAGCTTGACAGGCCCTCACAGAACCCTGACCTCAACCCCACTGAACACCTTTGGGATGAACTAGAGCAGAGATTGCGAGTCAGGCCCTCTCGTCCAACATCAGTGCCTGACCCCACAAATGCTCTTCCGGATGAATGCGCAAAAATTCCCACAGATACTCTCCCATATCTTATAGAAGGCCTTTCCAGAAAAGGGGAAGCTGTTATAGCTGCAAAGGGGGGGACCAACTCCATATTAATGGCTTTGAATTTAGAATTGGATGTCATAAAAGCTCCTGTAGGTGTCCTAATACTTTTGTCCATATAGTGTATTTTGCCTTATTTTGATTTTGACTTAATTATTTGACTTATTACAAAAGACAAAACTGTCTGTCAAATTTCATTCAGTTGAAATCAGTAAAATATTTTATCTTCTCTGTGGTATCTGCTGAAAGTTTAGAATCTGCACTTCTCCACTTGGTTTAATGAGCTGCTAGAAAGAAGTAGAAATGTTTCTGTAATATTGCAATTTTTTGTACAGGAAGTCTTGGAAGGCTACGTGCACATGCACACTTTTGTGTGTTTGAATTTTTTTGCTCGCTGGCTGAAGAAAGCCAGATAGTGAACGTTACTGCTAGGTCGAAACACATTTCATTTTACAGCACACCCCTAAATCCACCCCAAAGCAGTTTCAAGTTTTTCAAAGGTCTCTCACACCTTCATCAGAAAGTAGTTTTCCTAGTCCGGAGCGCCTCTCTAAAGTCCATTCCTGTTCTGTTTTGGGAGAAGCCATATTCCCCACGTTCATTCTTTCATTTATTCTTAGCAGCTTCACTGCGGCTATATGCTGGATTGTATTTCTTTGTACGAGTGAGGTCTTGTGTTGTGTGTTCAGAGTGTTCGTGCTGGTGTTAGTGGTGGTGTCAGTGTTATGGATCCCCCTGGTTCAGTCCAGTCAGGGTGGTCAGCTCTTTATCTACATCCAGTCCGTCAGCACCTACCTGCAGCCACCTGTGTCTGTGGTGTTCATAGCTGGCTGCTTCTGGAGAAGGACCAATGAGAAGGTATTCAGAAAACAATCAGGCATTTTTGTGTAGATTGTAATCGTTTGTATTGATCATATCATAGAATGATTGTGTAGATGATTTGGGTTTACAAACCTTGAGGCATGTTTAAGGAACTTTGAAAGGAAAATAACAGTACATTAAAAGATTAACTCAGTCAAGTTGAATTAGGTTTGCAAACTAAAAAATCTAATTGCATGGTTTACCTCTCACTCCAAAACATAGTTGATCAATCTCTATGTAAGTGAAGTTTGCTGCTGAAGTTAGCATTATGCAAACTGCATGTCTGAATCAACACCCCCATCTCAAACCGCATTAAGTAATCTCAAATAAATTTGCTTAGGTGGTTTTTGATACTGTACAAAGTACACTATTAGAAAAAATCTAGCTAAAAAGTATATAGCTAAAACACATGGCATTTAGCCCAAAACCTGAATACTTTTGTACATTTAAATATGTAACAATTCTGAGTGTTTTGCTTCATGTGTGCGGTGCAGGGGGCATTCTGGGGTTTGGTGCTGGGGCTGCTGGTGGGAGTTCTGCGGATGATTCTGGATTTCGTCTACCCCCTCCCACAGTGCTACGAAACAGACAACAGGCCTGATATTATCAAATACGTTCACTACCTATATTTCTCCATCATCCTCTCCCTGTTCACCCTCGCTGTGGTGGTGTGTGTGAGCTTGGCCACAGAGAAACCCACAGAAGAGCAGGTTAGCACACATGCATACGCAAGTAGAAAAGAAGATAAGAAGGAGCACCATAGTAGGTGGTGGGGAACACTTGAATATCAAGTTATACACAGACTGTACCTCAAAATGCACCACTACTTTTAACATTTTCTGCATAATTCAGTTATTAAGGTCTAAATTCACTCTGGCTGTTTTGATATGAAAGGGTTCACTGAAGAGAAAGGGGTCACAATGTTCACAACACAAATATAGTCATTTAATGTACTCTCCAAACCTATTAGCAATCCCATATGGCCTCTGAGTTTTTATATGTAATGCTAATGATAATAAAATAGTGGTAAATCTGAAAAAATAAGTTTTCTTTGGGGGCTATTTTGCCTTAGAACTCCCTGCATGTACCTCTCCACTTTGAACAGATAGTAAAAAAATTATTTTAGGCCAAAACCTGATCTTAAGCCTATTGTAAAACAATGCCTCATTATCAGATGTTTTGTAACCACTTCATGTAATAACTTTCTATGAAGGAGCTGTTAGAGGCTTTAAGACATATGGTTCCTATCACCACCACTGTAAACAAATTTGATCCTAGAACTCAGCATTTCACATCAAACCACTCTGAATTACATGGTTTACATCTTAATGATTATGCAGATAAAAAAGGGGGGATTTCCCTTTAAGAGTGGTGTATTTTAGGGTAAGTCCACACATAACTTTATATTGAAGTGAGTGCTCCTCTCCACCTACTGGGGTTTGTCGTTTTATGACTTTATAGTCATCACAGCTATCAGTTCACTGCCTAGTTTAGATGATAAAATTCCTCTTGTATTAACAGAAAGTGACACTGAAGGTTTATTCTTAAATTCTGAATACTCCATATTTCACATGAGCCTTTTGAGGTAACGTGTCCTGTTTGTCACAGATAAGTCGGCTGACGTGGTTCACGAGGTTTGATCCTGTGCAGAGCAGTGAGGCAGATAAAGAAGCTGGAATCTTTTCACTCAAGAACAGAGTACATCCTGAAAATGAAAAGAGCAACGGAAACATAGAAGAGCACTCGAAAGGTATGGTGGCCTTGTGCTATCTCAAATGCATAATCAACTTCAACCAGCAGGGGGAGCCAGAGAGTCATAATAAATATATAAAAATTACATGGGTTTCTATAAATGTTTAAAATAATTGCTAAATAATAATAATAATAATAATAATAAAAGCACTCACTATAGCTGTAAGACATGAAAATCTCAGGCTATATTTTAGCAAATCCTGGGACATGGACATGCATCTTAATTTGTATAAAAATGCTCAAATGTACATAAATGGACGGGGCAAGTGTTGTATAGAATCACACTTATTTTATAGATGTTTAAGCAGAAATTTGGTAGACTAGAAAAAAATGGTGTTTACATATAAAAGAACTCTCTACAGTTGCATGCAAAAGTTTGGGCACCCTGGTCAAATGATGTTGGTTGATTTTCTAAGTGAAAATAAGTTAACACATCTTCCACAGAGAACACACTCAGCACATTTTAATGCACAATTTCTGTTTATTTGCTGAATTTAACACATTGGGGAAAAAGTAAAACAAAACATGGCCTGTGTGAATGTTATAGCACATTTTATATTTTATATTTTATTTTTTCCAATATGTTAAACTCTGCAAATAAATTGTGTAAATCAAGAATTTGTGCCCTACAATTAGCAGAAAATGTCATATTTGAATTTGTTCTCTGTAGAGGATGTTTTAACTTATTTTCACTCAGAAAATCAACCAAACATTACTCGACCAGGGGTGTTCAAACTTTTGCATTCGACTGTATTGTTCTGTTTTCAGACCCAGCCAGTACGGCTCAGGCTGAGAAGACCATTAGGTCTAAGCTGAAGTCTACTTTGCTCTGGCTGTGCGGGATGGATCAGGGGTCTGGAGAGAAAGCCCCTCCTCCTCCGTCTGAGGTTGTGGTGTGTTCCCTGGAGGAGGACCCCTGCCTGAAGCACGTGGTCAACGCCAATCTTATTGTCTGCCTGTCAGTTGCAGTGTTTCTCTTTGCCTACTGGGCATGACAGGTCTTCATACCACTGGAGCCAACAACACTGATCGTACAAATTTCAATCCATCAGTCAACCTTTTTTTTAAACTCAGAGTACATGGATGGAGACTCCCCATTTTGTAGCCAAGCCAGTACAGAAATCAAGGATGAAAACGGAATTGTAAAAACATATCAAATGCTAAAAAAATATAAAAATAATAATAATCACAATAGTAAATTTAATAGTTAAAACAGTCAGATCAGAATAAAATATTACACTTGCAACAATATAAAAACTTAATAAATAACAGATCAAATAGGGATAAAATGAATAAAAATATATAGTTAATGAAACAAATAAAGGAATGGAAGATAATAATAATAAAATAATAAAATAAATAAAAAGAATAACAGAAGTGACACAAAAACATACCAAAAACATATTAAAAGTTAACTAAAATCATGTAAAACAGTTGCAGGCTGTGTGGAGGTGGTTAGAGACTAAATGTGTAAAATGTTTATGTGACATCAGCAAGCAAAGCTTTAGTTTCCTGTAATAAGTTCCAGCTTGTTGGTGCTCTGTAGCTACAAGCAAATTTTCCCAGTTCGGTAAAAGCTCTCGACAAGGAACGAGTCTGATAAAATGCGTTATTTACACACAGCATTTTTGTGATGTATGATGGCATATGGCCAGTAAGTGCTTTATAGTTTAGAAGAAGGCAGTGTGTCTCTCGAAGCACAGCCAGAGACCAGACAACCTTTTCATACAGTACACAGTGCTGGGTGTTGTACATATCTCTAGTAATGATTCTTAAAGCAGAGTGCATACAGAGTCTAAAGTAGTTGCAGATGCATATCTGTATATCACAACACCATAATCCAGAATAGACAATAGCATTACATCAACAATCTTTTTCCTCATATGCATCGGGAAACATACTTTGTTTCGGTACAGGAATCCAAGTTTTTGCCTCGGTTTACATGTAAGCTTGTTAATATGGTATTTAAAAGTGCATTTATTGTCTAGCCATATGAAAAGATATTTATATTCACTAACTCTTTCAATGTCAGACCCTTGAGGGATTTTAAAAGTCTTAAAATCAATATTAGAGGCTCTGGAAAGCAGCATAAATTTAGTTTTCTCAACATTTAAGACTAGTTTATGATTGTAAAAAGCTGATTGTAGGGCATTAAAATAATGCTGCTGTTCATCCATTGGAGTACCAATATAGTCAGCTGAGCAATGCAAGATGGTGTGATCGGTATATAAATGTATTTTGCAAATGACAATGGAGGTGGCAATGTCATTAATATAAAGAATATTTTATATAACTGACTGCACAATGTTTCTTTCTGTCAATGGCACTGAAAAGATCATCTAAGATCAGAGTAGCAGCAGAGACTGTGCTGTGCTTTTCTCTAAAACCGGGTTGATAGTCTGACAAGACTGAATTTCAATGGAGAAATATCTTAAGTTAGTCATTCATTAAAGTTTCTAAGATGGCTAAGCATGACGATTTTGAGATAGGTCTACAGTTATTAAGATCTAAGGCATCACATTCTTTGTGGAGTGGAATTACATGTGCTGTTTTCCAGATACTGGGAATTCTGCTTGATAAAATACAGGGTGTCCCAAAAAAAATTGACATCATTTGAGACGTGAATATCTGAGTAACTACATGTCCTGGGCAAACGAAATTAAATAGGCTTCATGTTGAACAATACAAGATTTATTTATCAAAATTCGAACAAGAAATTCAGAGGGATGTAGATTTTATAACCGATTTCACAAAGCTTCACAAATGTAATATCTTCTGATACTGGTGGTCGTCCAGATCCCTTCGCCCTGCACAGACAGCCTTCCTCTTTGAATTTTTTGTGCCATGTCCAAATCTGCTTTCCAGGTGGTGCATTTTTATTGAATTTTCTCGAAAATTCACGCTGCACACTCTTGTTTGACTGCATTTAAGTATATTCTAACACACAAAATGCCTTTTCATTTCTAGTGAATGCCATTCTTCAACCTGAACAAATAACATTAAAAATTAAACTTGGTTAGTTTTTACACATTTGTCAAAATCAGAGATCATTTGAGGGGGAATTGGCTATGTTATTAGACTACGAAATGATGTCAAATTTTTTGGGACACCCTGTAGATAAATAAAAAATGTATGTAATGTGTTCTAAAATAGTCTCAAGCCTCAGAAAAAGGGGTTCAAGCTATGCTGTTAAGGTCTTTAGCTGCTATATGAGGAGAGAAAGGGTGAGTTGTAAGGAGACCATGTCTTACAGCTGGGGGTGCATCTATGTCATTGAGAGATGCGTCCATATTAGTTTTAAATAAAATTACATAAATAAATTGCAAGGTGAGCGTTACATGCTCGGCAGACCTCTCTCTGATCAGAAATCTGTTGATGATTAATTAAAATATGGGCTGGAATAGGAATTGATTAGTTTTTGAGCAAATTAACTGTCTTCTAGAATTTGAAGGCGTTTGAAGCGAATTTTGTAAATATCTGAAGGCAAAATTCTGCTTTAGCTTTTCAGATGTAGGATGTATATTTATTCCTTAGCTGCCTGAAAGTAAGCCATTGGTCTCTGTCCCAATTTCTTCTAACTATGGCCCATGCTTTATTTCTTTCACTGAGCAAGGAAGATATTTCAGAGATGAACCAGAGATTTGAATTATCTCGGATTCTAACAAGGGGCATGCTTGTTTACCACCGCCAGGAAAGTTTTGCTAAAATGCATTAAAATGTTTAAAATTTCTTCTAACCACCATCCGAGAGCCTGACTATTATGATTATGCTTGTGTTTCTAATGCATCCAATAGGGCAGTGGTCACTAAAAAACAGGGTTGAATACACCTATTGAGGTAATTTTGTCAGATCTGTTGGATAAAATTAAATCAATTAATGTTGACTTATTGGGGTCATGTTTGGTCGTGTGGGTTGTATAATTAGTTGTGTTAGAGATTTCCACACATTTCCTTCAAGTGATCGGATGCATTAGTTAACCAGTTTAGATTAAAATCACCCAGGATTAGCATTTCTGAGTTGATGTATGGATTTAAAAGTTCAGCTTAATTATCTACAATATAAGAGGCCACAGAAGGAGGTCTATAGATCCCACCTACAACAAATCTGTTATTGCGTTCTGCGCCCACTTTTCTCTTTGGATAATGAATTAAGAGTTTTTACTTGAATAATATATTTAATGTAAATAGCCACTAGACCACCCCTTGCTTTCCTATCAGCTCTGTACAGATTTTAAGCAGGTAGGGCCACTTCAGGGTTAGACACAGATTGTTTTAACCAGGATTCAGTCAGAACTACAGTATCTGGATCGGCTTATGAAACCAAAATTTTCAGATTGTCCATCGTGCTGAAGAGGCTCCTAATGTTTAAGCACTGCTTTATTCCCATGTCTGAGTAGCTGATCCTAGGTTGATTGCTAATGATTACAGGGATAGCTAAGTACTCATTTCTAATTTCAGGTAGTCATTTCAGGTTAAGAACAGAGTAAAACACACTGTGAGTTTAAATCTGCGAGCCAAGCCTGCTAGGATGAATCCCATCATTCCTATAAAAGGATGGACGGTTCCAGAAAAGATTAAAATTGTTGATAAACTATTTGTTCACTAGACAGTCTTTCTGAAGACAACTGTTTAGGTTTAAACATCAGCTAAAACATCTCATGCCTTCTGTAGTTATTGACCAGTTAATAGATTAAAAATTAATTCCATTACTGGGTTTGTTCTATTTTAACTCTGAATTCTGAGCACTAATTTCACACATTTATATGATGATTCCATATTGGAATGAGGTTCTGTGTGGCCCAAAGCCAAGCTTTTGCCAAGATGACGGCCTCCCACAGAATGTGAAGATGGAGCTGTGCCCGTTTTATTTATTTAGAATGACTTTGTAGATTTTTGACAAGCAACTAAGCGTTACTGCTGTGTGCCCTAATCAGCTGAATAATGTAACAGGAGATACTTGTGGTGTCCTTTGTCTTTTTAAAGATATTGTATGTTTTCTTCTGTTTTGTTTAATAAATGCTCATACAAAACCGACACTACTCAAAGGTACGTTTTGATTTCAGATTTATTTTCTTATTGCCAGGCATTCATATAATCAATAAACTTGCTGTGTAAGAATAACAGCAGCAATCTTTGTTCACTCAAGAAGTGTGCAGAACAGACTGGTTCAGCTGCAGAAAAGGTGCACACAAAGTAGAAAAGTACATAAAAATAAAGCATTAAGAAAAACAAAAATCACCATTTACAAGCCTGTAAAAGTCCTTTAGGAGAGCCTGTCACAGAAACAAGGATTTTGCAAGTCAGTAATGAAGTGGATGAACGGCTGTTGGTTTTCCAATTGACTATTTCCTGAGTTTAACTGATCCATTAAAGTATTCATCCACATTTTTGTTGGACCATGATTTTCAGGCTCAGAGCTAAAGTAACTGCTAAAAGGAAAAACTATGGGGGGAAAAAAACATCATAAAATGCACTAAAAAAAAGAAACAAAAGGTTCTATCAACAGTTCTTCTCGGAATTCAGCATTGTGCCGTTTTTGGCACTACATGAAAGTTGTGCAGCTTTTCCTCCTAAATATCCCACCTAGTTTATTAAGAGATGAACAGCAACAGCAGTTCTGCTAAAACATTTCAATTTCAAACTGAGGTAATTTATTAGTGACCAAACACTTATGGGTGGGTACATTACTGTTGAAACAAAATGCAGAATCACACCTATATAAGACATGTTCCAGCAGAAATGTGGTCATTTTATTCTTGATTGAATTTGTTTTATTGCTGTATGCTTTGGTCCATCAAATTAAAGCCAGTGAAAAAATCTGAAAAAGATCGACTTTACAGTAAAACATGTAAGTAGATAAAAAAAAGTGATTGTCTAGATCATAAATGAAAAAAAAAAATACTAAAATGCAAATAATATTGCACCACAGGCATGAAAATATTCTAAAATATATGATATTTTGCCATATACTGCATTCCCATATGTGTGCCATTTGAAATCGTGTTTCAATATGATCAGCCGATTCATTTCCTAAGTCTTTGGTCTATTTTGGAAAAAAAAGTCACTCCAGCATAATCTCTCAGACACAGAAAATGAAATGTGGCACAGTGAAAAAGGACGATTTAGCTGAGTGGAAGGCAGAAAGATAACATAGCCTACCTACATTGCACTACACTGACAGACTCGGAGTGTCCATGTGAAAAGGCCATGCTTGTTTGCTTTGGTTTCTCCCTTCCCTTACAGTCCTGCAGTAAAAACACTTTCAAAGGCACAAGTAATAATACACACATGGGTATATAGCAAAAAAAAAATGCACATAAACATTCATTTTTCAAAAGTTAAAGCCCGAGCCACAGGAAATCCAGCATGATAGAGAAATGAGAGTTTATGGCCAGAATATGGTATTGGTACAGTTTACAGCATGTCTTCTGCTTGCTTCCTGGGACAGGATTACAACATGAAATGATGAAAATAGAAACAGTAACAGCCTCGAAGAAGCTCCATCAGTGCTCAGAAGATTTGGTTCAGGTCCAGGCCCAATAACACTAAGACTGACTGTCGGTCTATGCTTCTAAACAGGATTGAGTGGAGTGGTAGGCTGTAGAGTGAGGATGACTTTCACCTTCCCTTCACAGCATGGTGCTCTCTGAATGGTGCTCAGCTTCAGGGGGTGTGGCCTCAGGCTGTTCCACAGCTATCTCAGGGACAAGGACCCGCCCTGGCCCCTTCAAAGACACGCCCCCATCTGCACAATCAGAATATACAGTCAAACTTCAACAGCTTCAGCATAATACCTACTCTTCCTATTAACACTGTCCTTCAAAAGTTTGAGAACATCTAGCTTTTCCAAAGTAAATAACTGAAGATGTTTTATTTGTCGGTTTGCAACTTGTAGGGTAAAATTCTAAATATTTTAATGTATTAAAGACAACCATGTTTATTTTGAGAAAAATAATATCACAAATAGCAAAGATGCACCAATATAGGAATTCTGAGTCAATGCTGATAACCGGTATTTTTAATGTACAGTCTTATTCAAAAGGTTGAACATTCTTGGTAAAATGATGTTTTGTTGATCTAAGTGAAAAAAAAAAATTAACACATCTACAGAGAATAAACTTAAATATGGCATATTTGTGCATATTGTAGAGCAGAATTTCTATTTATTTGCTGAGTTTAACATGTTAAAAAAACATAACATAGAAAATATGCTATAAAGTTTGCTGTGTAGAGGATGTGTTAACTTATTTTTTACTTCAACAAAACATGCCATTTGACCAGAGGTGCCAGAACTTTTGCATACTATTGTATATACACTACCAATCAAAAGTTTGGAATCAACATTTCCAATAACATATACGTGTGTGTGTATATATATATATATATATATATATATATATATATATATATATATATATATATATATACAAAAGTTGGTTGCAGTTACATGTATAAAGTCTTAATATTCAATTCTCAAACAAATTGCAGGATGCTGCAAAAATTAAGAAATCTTTAGTGATAAAGTGTGGATGATTGCATAAAAATGGCTGAAGAATAAGAAATGAACATTATATAACATTGATATTATGATATAATTAATATGAAGAATGTCTCATTCTCAAAAACTTCAAAAACAGGTGTCCACATCTCGCTGATCAAACAGCTAATCATAGTGACTTTGTGACAAGAAATTACCATAAACACACAATTTATTATATAAGAACATTATATAAGAAGATATTGTTGTTACCACATCATAACTTTTTGCTTTTTCCAAAATTATTTGAAATTGTGAACAAAGTATCAGTTAGTTTTTGATGTCTAGTTTCTAGTTTTTACTTACTGTTTTAAAAATGTACATGGTTGATATTATTTTCTCAAAGCATGTTAATTTATTAAACCAACAAAGAAAACATTAAAGTCCAAAAACTTTTGAAGGACAGAATATATAAAGACAAAACAAACCAACCAAGACAAAAGAAACTGCTTTACAAGCACAAACATTTAGCACACCAAGAATCTGTCCTTCTTTTAGATGCATTTAACATGTGTTTCACTTCTTGACCATACATGATATATATCTAATTTAAATGTATTTATTCCTTTAATTAATTAATCAAATTATGGCATCTTCAGACAGTATCCGTGGTGCAAAGCCCCCATATCCCCCCTTACTCTGCACTCTATACCTAAATGTGGGAAAGCAGCAGACAGTTTTGTAAAGCAAGCATGCTAATATGGATGTCATTCCACATGCAGGTTAGTGGTTAGCCTGTTAGCTTCAGGAAAGCAGGGTTAATGTGCAGACACATTCATAGACTCCCAGCAACACTGTACATTAGCTTATAGGCCTGGTTTCCTTACCATAGCCTGCCATTCAACTCACAGTTCACAGGCAGGAGGTCACACATCTGTAACAGTTTAACAATGCCATCATGCATCAAGACACCCATTTCATTTATTCATTTACTCTAATACCAATTACTTCTCCAGCAATGCATTCTGATGATGATTAATCACAGCACACACTACTGCATTACATCACAACAGACACAGATCGTCAAAAAGAGATTAAACCCCCAAACAGTAAAAGAGAAAATGGTGAGAGCTGGAAAGGAGAGGAGGTGATGAGCTTGAGGTGCTGAGTGTTATAGCTGGATCACAGTGCTCGTGCACATGCAGATGGACAGCGGCCGAGCCGTGTGGGGAAACAATAGAGCGGGCTGATGTTAGGGTTGGAGTGGGTTGGGGACAGCTGGTAGCTCCTGAACTTTCCATTACCACCAAAGAGCTTTCACTCTCGAGCAGCATGCAGTTTTATTGACCAAAAACCTTTCCACTATCACACACTGCACATACCAAAATTCCATAATTCAACTGCTCAGATCTAAGGAGTACAGGATTACAGAAATAGTTCAGCAAAAAATATATGAAATTAAAAATCAAATGTACACTATTTTCCCTTTTCTGTAAATAAATAGTCAATCAGCCAAGGCATGTTTAGTGCTTTTTACCATGAGTCTAAAGTAGCTAACAAGCAATAGAAGCTTACACCCTGCCAATTAGCATAATGCAAAATGCATGTCTAAAGGCTCAATTACAAACCTGAACTCCAAAAATGTTGGGACAGAGTGTGAAATGCAAATGCTAAAGGAGAATACAGTGATTTATAAAACCATTTTCACCTGTATTTAAAAAACAGTACAAAGACAAGATATTCAATGTTTTATCTTATCAACTTCATAGTTTGTTGTAAATAGACACTCATTCTGAAATTGACGCCTGCAACACGTTCCAATAAACACTGGAATTTAACACGTTGTAAAATGTTCAATGTTCAGTGATGCAATCATGCTTGATTATAGAAGCAGCATGTAAAGGCCTAGTCCTGTATGAGCTAGGATGGTTTGAGACTTACCACTTAAAACATGTGTCACAATAAAAACTACAGCTGTATGCCTGCAACCTGAATACTGTGAGATGTGTATTGTGGCCTGACGAGTCAACCTTCTTTTCTGCAGTCAAAGATGAAAAGGACCATCCAGATTGTTACCAGCAGTATTTCATGGTACGGTGGTTTAATAGTGTCAATGGCATGTATAATGTGTACATATGTGGCAGCATTAACGGTAAAAATATATACATATTTTGTAGAAACATATTCTGCTTTTTATACATTTTATTTTTTATCTTTTTCAGGGACATCCGTGGTTATTACAACATGACACCACCAAGCCACATTATGCATGTTACAACAGCATGGCTGTGTAAACAGAGAGTGCCAGCAGTTCAGATCTCTCTCCCCTGAAAATGTGTGGCACGTTATGCAGTACAAAATATAACAAAGGCCCTTTACTGCTGCGCAGCTTATGACAAAAATTCTGTTTTCAAAACTTGACCACTTGGTGTCTTCAGTCCATAAAAGATTTTTACTTGTTGTTAAAAAGGAAAGGTGATGGAACACTGTTAAATATGCTCCTGTCACATTGTTTTTAAAACGTGATGATAAATAAAAAAAAAAAACAAAATAAAGTAAATAAGGCAAAATATCAAATATTGTGTTTTGTAATGTTTTGAATAATAAGGGATAAATAGAATTTACTAATTACTTTTTTATTTTACTTTTTTTTAATGTTTATTAGCATTTCATATACTGTCCCAACTTTTTTGAAATTGAGGTGTCTGTGACTTGGAATATACAGAAAACCAATAACAAGAACAAAGTCTCACGTTATGTTGTAGAGAACTGATAGAAAGAAATACTAGATACCATAACAAATAATTTATAGTTTTACACTCTAACTGAGGATCAATTGTGACAATATAACTAGTCTTGTTGCAGTTTGGGAATAGTTTGGCAGATACATTTACAGTATAAATCAGTCTTAAATCATCACACATACTCCTCAAACACTGTCAGGCTGTTATGGACAAAATGCAGGTCTCTTGATGGCTGCTACTATTGTTTTTAGCTATTTTTACAGATAACCATTTGACATACAATGTCAGAAACCAGACAGACAGGTATTATTTGTGGCTTATTTGTTAGCTACATTAGTCTAATGGCTCCAGTGTGAAATAAAAGTAGTAAACTTTGGACACCAAATACGTCTTCACTGATTGACTACATTTGGCTAAAGTGAAAAGTACCCAATGTTGCCTTAAATATGAACATTGTCAATGTAAAAAAGTCTGTCTTTAGTTCGAATGCTGTAGTATAAATCATTAAAATTGTTCACAGTATGAACATGCATTCTGAGCAGAAGTGCTTGCTATGGCCACCAGGACCATGTGAAATATGATGAAAAGAGTTGACCCATGAGTGTAAAGGAAATCAGGAATAATAATACATTAGACAATAATAAAATGACAAGAATGTTCCATTCATTCTAGATAATTCTCCAGTGCCTCTTTTGGCACTGGCCATAGCAATCCATATGTTTCCTGCAGCTGCTGGCCTTTACTTGGCTGCATTTAAAACTGGACAGACAGAGCATCCAAGCCAGGTCTGTGGAATTCTTCCCTCAGCAATGCTTCATGTAATCTTTGGAGAGGGCTGCAATACTGCAGTTCACTACTTATATCACAGCAACCACTGAGTATTGAAAAAACTCAATACCTATTCCAGTTGCACTGTATTTTATAGGGATGCATAGATATGGGAACTGTGGGCACCTGCTGATATCCAATATTTTTCATGTACCTGTCTGCTGTTGATGATACATAAATGTTTATTGGGACTAAATCCACCTTTATTAGCATTACACAGAAATATAACATTTATTTCTATAAGCTTATCAACACACGAAAAAGAATAAAATGCAGATATTTTAACATGGTAGCCCAGGATCACCTAAACATTCTGATCTGATGAGTTTTAAAACTGTCGTAGTCTGATGCTAATATTATTTTAAGCAAATATCTGCCAATACCAATATGATTCTGATATCAACATGCGTCCCTACTGTCTTACGGAAGTGGTCTCCACTATTGTATTGTATTAGATGAGGTTATGATTTAGAATGGACTGATTTTACCAGTTGGGACCACAGGGGGCACCAGCTACCAAAACAGTGATAAACTGAAAGGCTGTAAAGAGATTCTTTCCATTTTCCTATCATCACTTCCTAAAAGAACTGAACAACAGTAAGGACCCTGGTTAGTTTCACCATAGCCAACAGGGTCATATTTCATCTTTAAACAAGGTCAGCTGCACATTTCTTTCCAATGTCAAGTAAAGTTGTTTAATTGGTTTCTTTGGTTTAATAAAAAAAAGTTAAAGATAAACAGCAGTCGGACCCCAGCTGTGAGATAGATTTGCATTTGAGCTATATTAGGAAAGTGATTTGTTTTTCAAAAACAGTATATGATGGTACAACTCATTGATGTTTCATTAAATCATTAAAATTCTTGCCAAGAACAGGGACCAAGACTCCTATTTTACATATTATGTATATATATATATATATATATATATATATATATAAAGTATAATGCGTGAGGTGGATGACTAATGGAAGTAAGATGGATTGTGAGGTGAACAGTGGCTGATGATATGCGATGAAGATGCTAAGAGCTGCAAGTTAATAATAGTAGAACAAGTTTTCTGGTTACTACCTTACACAACGATCCTCAACCTGTGGAAATATGCAGACACTGGTCAGTAATACATGTGAACTGTGTCTCTGTGTAAAGATGAACAGCTTTCTCTCTGTGACTTTCCATCCCCGTATAACATGCTGTGGGGAAAGATTTGTGGCCGCTGGGTTCAGGGAGTTGGGTTTCTGAATAATGAGATATTAATGTGCGCCGAAACTAAACCCCCTTAGCTCTTGTTTAAGCCTAATATGCACTTATTTGCGCGTATGTTCCACATTCAGCTTTCTCAATATGAGAAAAGACAAAGAATGCCTTACTATCTTTTTACCTTTAAAGCTAATTTCCTCCTGAATTTATTTTGTTGGCGATTAAGAAGAGAGGATATCTTTGGGTCTGTTTCTCCGAATGGAAACAACGTGTAAAAAATAAGCCCCAGATCAGTCTTATTTTACATTATATAAATAATCTATGCATGTAATTTGAATAAGCAGGCTGTAAAGTTACTTTAGGTCTAAGAAGGTAAAGGATTAAAACAAATCAAGGTACAGAAAACAGTATAATGGACTCATATTTGAGTATTAAAATAAGGCTTTTGTTGTTTGAGTTTGGTTCTGCAATATATTTTTAGCATTTTAAATTAGGACAGGTGGGTGTACGTGGTTGCTTCCCAGAATTATGGCCTCTAAGAATCAGAAACATTACATCACCACTGTGGACTGCAATTTGCTCAATCACAGAACAAAAACGAATTGTACAGTATGGTGAAGTACACTCAACTGTGGAGATCAGCATTACTGTTGTAGGAAAATCTGGTAAAGGGTAACTTTATTAACCTCTTAAATTATTGTCTTATTATTTTGTTATTAATCTGAAACAAACAGCTCAACCAAACGTGACTAAAAATGAAAGAAAGTGAGGAGCCGCCAATTAGCATGAAGTCAATTCCACAATTACTATAGATGGTTATTTGCTTTCATTCATTATTAGCTGACAGGTTTTGACCAGACAATTCCTTTAGTAATTATTATTCAGCTACTACGGATAAGCTAACATATACAGTCATATGCAAAAGTTTGGGCACCCCTTGTCAAATCACATTTTCTTGATGTTGAAAATATATTAACACATCTACAGAGAACACACTTCAGCACACTTTAACACACGTTTACTGGGTATTTGCTGGATTTTACATATCAGAAAAATAAATTAATGTGGCATGCATGTTACATTAAATATGTTCTGTATTATTTTATTCCAAAATGTTATACTCAGCAAAAAAACACAAACAAAAAAAACAGAAACTGTGCTCTAAAATTGCAGAAACATGGCATATTTAAGTTTGTTAGAGGATGTGTTAACTTATTTTCACAGAAAATCAATGAAGCATGTAATTTGACTAGGGGGTGTTTAAACTTAGCATATGATTATAGGATATAGTTATGAGAATGAGCAACACAATGATTTCTTGAAGTTGAATGGATCTAAAAAAACAGTATAATGGACTCATATTTGAGTATTAAAATAAGGCTTTTGTTGTTTGAGTTTGGTTCTGCAATATATTTTTAGCATTTTAAATTAGGACAGGTAGGTGTACCTGGTTGCTTCCCAGAATTATGGTCTCTAAGAATCAACAACAACAAAAAACAGAAACTTTGCTCTAAAATTGCAGAAACAGGGCATACAGAGGATGTGTTAACTTATTTTCACAGAAAATCAATGAAGCATGTAATTTGACTAGGGGGTCTTTAAACTTTAGCATATGACTGTAGGATATAGTTATGAGAATGAGCAACACAATGATTTCTTGAAGGTGAATGGATCTAAAAAGTTAAAAAAAATTTGCTTTTCAAATTTTATTCTGCTCCATTCATCATGGACTGTTTTCCACTGCTGGCAAATTTAAATGTTGTAAACAAAAATGATAAAGTGCAAACCAAGTATTTTTGTTATGCACTTTATCATTCATGCTACACAAGATGATCAGAAGAAGGAGTGACGCTTTTTAGCTCTTACCTGTGATAATCTTGGACGCGGAGCCGCATACTCCATTAGAGCCATCAGGCTGTGGGGGCGGGGGAACGCTGGGCCTGGGCCGAGGTCTGGGGGCGGGCCGGGGGCGAGTGAGAGAGCCGGAGTTAAAGGAGGAGGGCAGAGTGGCCTGGGAGCCATCGTGTGGAGGCGTGTCTGGCGGAGTGGGGCTGCTAGGTGGTGATTGCTCTGGCTCGGCTGCGCTCTGTGCAGGGGGTTGTGGAGGAGGGTGACTCGGGGCCTGGATGGGTATCTGGTTGTTGGAGTGGCGACGGGGTGTGGGTGCAGGCTGAGTTGTGCTGGACACCAGGCCTGGGACTGGGGTGGAGGGGCTGGGTGCTACTTTAGGCATCTGGGCTGTGGAGGCAGAGGGGCTGGGGGCTATTTTGGGTGGTGCCGGGGCCTGCTTCTTGGTACCTGAAACCATACAGCATGTAGTTTAAATGCACCATCTATTGATCTGAATAGTTAGTTATAGTTATATATATGCCAAAATCTTATAGCAAAATATTTTTTCACATCACACAATAATAATTATTATAAGATAATAAGAACACAGGTGCTCCACCTATGGTGGTCAAATAACATGTTTTGTTGATTTTCTAAGTAAAAATAAGTTCACACATCCTCTACACAGAAAAAGCTGCACATTTTAATGCACTGTTTATTAATTTAATATATTAGGGAAAAAATGAAAAATAAAATGTGGCACACGCAAAAGGTGAGATACATTTTATACTGTATGTTTTACTTTTTTCCCAATAAGTTAAACACAACAAAAAAATAAACACTGATATAAAATTTGCAGAAAAATGTCATATTTAAGTTTGTAGATGACATACATTCAACATTCAGCATGCAAGATTTTTAAAACAGTCATAACAGTCAACAAAAATAGGAACTAAAAGATGAAAAGATATGATCTTTTCTTTGCCACAATCCCCTATTATTCTATTTTTTTTCTCAAGCTTACAATCTTTTTTTACTCTGCACCGTTACTGGAAATAGTCAGCTAGCTAAATTTCCCAACTGTCATACTTTATACTGCTATTAGTGAATGGCTCAACTTCTTCTCAGTCCCAGTCTAGTGAGTAAAAGGTCTACATCGCCTAGTGTACTAGTGTCTAAAGTAACTGTTCAAGTTCAACCTTTGGTGCTAATAACTGATTAAGGATTTGACCTTTTTATTCTCTTAATCGAAAATACCTAAAACATGCAGATTTATAGTAAAAAATGTTTTTCGCTAACATTTTATCGGCCAGGCTTAGTTACGATTTCTAAGTTACTACAGGGACATTGAAGTCTTACCTCTGCGCACCATGTGTGGACTCGGACCCTTGGAAGCAGACATTGGGGTCCCCACAGTCAGCTGTCCAGGCATTCCAGTGGGGCCTCCAGGCCCATTCCTGAGGGACGGTGGTGTGGAGGCTGGCTCCCGAAAGACACTACTGTTGGACAAAATACAGTCAACATTAAAAACACAGAAAACTGTATTTGTCAGAGCATGATGTTAATGAATATTTCACTTCTCATGCTTTGAAAGAATGATGCATTTTTATTTTATTAGATGATTTTGCTTGCAATGTCAGTGCCAAAGTGGAAAAATGTACAATGTACAATCACTGTTTCTACTGATATCATGTCAGCACAGGAAAACAACATGCCATGCAATGAATTCTTCTGCAAAGAGTGCACGAAAAGTGGAAATGCATTTAATCACAAGGCATTTTGGATGTTTAGGAAAGTCACGGTTAGTCTCCAGACAACGGCAGGGACAGTCATTCAGAGATGACTAAGAGAGGAAACACCAGGAAGGATGGAAGGAAGGCGGCAGCCGCTGGTTTAGAGGAGCCACTGAGAGAGCGTGATCAGTCCGAGCAGACAGCTGACTAAGAAGCTTCCGGACTCGGACTGGCATCTGAAAGCCCTTGAGATTCCTGAATATCTCATTTGACAAGCTTTATCACGGACCTCTGAAGCCATAAGGTAAATCACTCTATTCCGAGAGATTTTACTTACTTGTAGAGGATTTAATGATGATTTAGGGCAATGGTCACCAACACTGCCTCTGGAGATCTATGTTTCTGCAGGGTTTATCTCCAACCCTAATCCATCACACTTGATCCAGCTAATGACTCTCTCTAGAACTCCAAGAGCAGGGTTGGTGGAGCCGACAGATTTTGCTTACTTGTTGAGGAACTAATGATGATTTAGGACAGCGGTCACCAACCCTGCTCCAGGAGACCTACCTTTCTGCAGAGTTTAGCTTCAACCCTTATATACCACACCTGACCCATCTAACGACTGTCTTCTTGATTACTTAGACAAGGTGTGCTAGATTTAGGTTAGAGCTGAAACCTGCAGGAAGGCAGATCTCTACACAGTAAATTAGTCTTTAGAGATTTTACTTAGTTGCTGAGGATTTAACAATGATTTGGGACAGTGGACAACTGGAGATCAACAAACCTACAGGATTGTGCTACAACTATTATCTGCCACAACTTATCCAGCTAACCATTCCCTTCAGAAGTCCATAGCTGCATTCCAAATGTTAGGCTGCAACTTAGAAAGGTGGGTCCTTGATAGGACTGTCCTATGAAGACTCCTTTTCTGTATTACATAAGGCAAAATGGAACAATCTATCAAGGCTGCTTGATAGATTGTTCCATTTATTAAAACGATTAAACTCTCCATAAGCACGTACATTTCAGACCCTGCATTCAGTTTACACCCTCCTAAACAGATTCACAACTAAAGAAATTGCATACTGTATATGTTACTATATATTTTATTGGCAGTGTTTCTTCTAAACTCTTATTGGGTCAGATGTGTGCACAAAGGATTATGATTAACAGATGAGTGTGAAGGATACTTCAGCAGAATCCTTGAAATTTTTTTCTTGGCAATATTTGAAAAATATAAACAGCCTTTGATGACGTAATGGTCCAAAAATGCACCCCAACTAGACTGCGGCCTAGCTTTCAGAATGAAGCTCATGCGTACTTCGATACATTTGCTTCAGAGGCAGGCAAATCCTGAAGAGACAGGTTGATGAACATATTCTTTTCTGAGAGACTTTACCTACTTAACATCATTTTTAGCACAGCGGTCACAACTCCTGGACATCTATGGTTGTGCTGAGTTTAGCTCTAGTCCTAAACCATCACTCCTAAACCGGCTAACAATTTTATTCAGAATTCTAACTTGACCAGATTTGAGTTGAAGGTGAAACCTCCAGGAGGGCAGACTTCCTGGAGGAGGGCTGGTGACCAAGGATATAGGCGATTTATGGACAGAGAACAACATTGGAGAGATTTGCGCTGAAAGGCTGTTTATTCCAGTGTGGAATCATCTGACAGCTAAAGGTAGGGCAGAGAGAGAAATGCTTCTGATTTCTGATTGGCAGCTGCAGCGTGGCGGTGGCAAAGGGGGTCTTTTTGTGTTTTCGAGCGGTCCTTACCTGTTGTCCTCAGCAGATTGCTGCTGAACTAAAGGCTGCTGGGTCTGAGCCATTATAGCTCCTGCCAGGCCAGCCTCTGGGCCCCCTACGGGACACTGAAGGGGTGCCTCCTCTGCCTCCACCGGAGGGAGAGGGGGCTGGAAGGAAGGGGAGGAGTGCTGCTTTCTATTTAGAGTGGTGGCTCTACGAGGTGCGTGCTCCGGCTGTTTGCTAGCGGGGCTATGGGGGGGAGAGGGGAGAGAGGGTGAAACACACACACCTGACAGAGCTCCACCTGCGGTGACAGAGAGCCATTAGAGCCCAGAGTGAGAGAGAAACCTTCACAAAACACACTCTCTCACACAGCAACCATGGCAAGGGGAGGAAAGGCGGGGTAGCATACCACTACAGGAGATGCAGTTAGTCATTTTACAGTGTGTGTTACAAGGAAATACATTTGGGTCCTGGCTTTGCTGTTTAACCCCTTAAACTACCTAAAATTCCTACTTCTCATAACTACACTGTGTACAATACTATGCAAAAGTCAGAGACCACCCTCAAGTACAAGTTACTTATCTTTCAGCATCAGGAAAACAAGCAGAAAATATACATCTAACAGAGATTTACAAAGAAGCCTCAGCATTTAAATACCTTCATTAGAGTCTCCATTCTTTTCAGGAGACTTGCTTTCAGTTTTTATAGGAACAGACAGAGATACCAGTGTTTTTTTTTTAAATCTGAAGCAAGAGTGGAGCTTGATTTTCACCTCTCTCTCAAAGACAGTGAGAGTTTTGGTATTTTACCAGGTCTTGAAGGATTGTTCGGAGTCCCATTTTCTCTTCAACCTTTCTTAATTTTTTAACTTCAGTTTTGGACACTCCTGTTTTTTCACTTATTTTCCATTGACTTTCCCCTTCCTTATGCAAGTGGATCATCTTACATATAATCTGTTCAGAAATATCTCCTGAAAAATGTATCAGTTGTACCTTAATTAAATAACTAAAAAGTGGTCTCTGACATTTGCACATTACAGTAAATCATATTTGTTAGCAAATAATTGATGATAGTTGCTGTATAATAAGTCTTGCATTTTAAGCCTGCAGTTTAAGGGGTTAAGTACTTTATCCGCGGAACTTAATCCAGATGTTACCACTTACAAGCTCTCTTGGCCACTTTTGAAGGTATTCACTAGCAACTGGCACACCGTAAAAGTCTTAAGAAAGTGTGGGTGTATGAGAATGTGGCTGTTTGTATGCTGTTACCTTTTGCCACAGTTTGTGAACAATTCTGTGCACTTTCTAGCACTGCACCTTTTGTCTGTTTAGTTTATGGTTCAAACTCACTCAACAAACTCCTTTTAAAGTTCTACTAAGGGAGCACCCTGAAGCACAATACCACATGACAAAAAGACCTTTCAGCTTTTCAACCTTTAAACCCTAATTTAATTAGCAGGAGATGAGCGCCTGAGGGTGTGGTGCAATTCTAGTCATACTTCACATGTTCCAGACAGGCCTGGCTACAACAGTAGATTCTGGAACCTGTATTCCATTTTTACAGTTAATAGATAACTTAACATTGTCAAATCTACTTGAGACCCAAGGGCCAGAACAGGTAAGTCATATCTAAGTCTGTATGAGTGTATTACTCATTAAGATCCATAATAACCACATGATATCACTCGTTTTACAATGTTAGACCAGGAGAGAAAACCATTTTTATTGATTCAATTAAGCATACACAAAATGATGACTGGAAGACAAAACACTGTGGAAGAGGAATCATGCGCAAGTGACTACACAGCCTCTTGTGGTGGAGGTGGACTGTCTGCTTTGACTGTGACAGACTCATTGGCCACTACATAGAAAGCAGACACAGCTGTGGATCTGGAGTCTTGTCTGTGAAGGCGAGGGTGGGATGGGTACCTGTCTTTACGGGGGCTTTCAGCTTCAAGCGCCCCCATGCTGCCCGGACGCCTTCTGTCGATCGTGGCTGGCTCCGGCTCAGGGGTGCCTGGGTAGCTGAGCTGGTGCGTGGGGGCGGTAGGCATGGCAAACATGCCGGACACATTGAAGTCCACTTCTGAAGGACAAGCAAAAAAGGGAAAAAGTGAAGCTTAACTCAAAGACAAAGCTGATCAAATCTACTAGATCAGTGTTTTCCAATTCTACTCTTGGAAATGTCCTGCACTGTTTACCCTGATCCCAACACAACTGACTCAACTGACTCATTTTTAAATTTTTTACTTCTACGAAAGTTGCATAAGACTAGCATTAAAGCTAGGCGTTGTATCAGCTGTGCTGGTAGGCCATGATGACGTAATGTGATATTGCTGTTAAATTGTAACGCTATTTCTAAAAAAAAAAGTCATGATATAAAATTTTCTCAATATTGCCCAGTCCTAACTAGCATACTAGAATTTCATACGTTATACGTTTATCTATAGCCAAATTGTTTAATAATTTATTAATTGGTATCGCATAGTGGGTAACAACACTGTCCTCCACATGGCTGACTAGGGTTCAGCCCCCCATACCATTAAGGGTTCTTGGGCAAGACTCCTATCCCTACATCTGTCTACCTCATCATGAATATTGTTTAAATTGTAATTTGCTCTAGAGGAGAGCAGATGCCAAATGGGGTAAATGTACATATGTAAAATAAACAGGGGAAACACTACAATGTGCAGTGCAGGAGGGCTCCAGGGTTTGGAAACTGTAATAAATAATGTGGTTTCCAATGATATCAAAACCATATCAGTATATATTTGATGCCGTGTTTATTTTAATCCAGAAGAGCAGAATGTTTAGGAGATGCATTTATTCAATCTACTGCATTTTGTTTAGAAATAAATGTTATATTTCTTTGTAACGTGATGCCAAATTTATGTATCGGTATCAGTATTCAGATATGGTGGTCTTCAAAAGTCTAGGATTGTTTTCATTGAATTTTGCAAACAAAGAACTGAACGTTTTAGAATTTTGAAAAAAATGAAAGCTATGAAAACTAAAAGAAAAAAATAAATATTCAAGATTCTGCACTATTTCTAGGTCACTATTCACATTTAAGCAAATTTGTGACACTGACCATGTTAAGGTCTTTGAACAAAAAGGTCAGTTTTTTTAGTCTTGCCCCTTTCGATGAGTTCATGTTCAGATGCCTGTCATGTGTATTTGATCTATTCCTTGGAGTCTTTTTCAGAGTCTATTCAAGCTCAAGTACACACTGTCATTAAAGCAAAAGAAGGACGTACCAAACACTAAGAAATTCATGTTAAAATTTCAAAGACTCTACTGTTCACTCAGATTTTTATGCTGATAATATAATTTGTGAAGATAAACTGTATTAAAGTAGAAGACAAAGCATTATTATTAGTAGCCTCAGACTTTTGGTCCTTACTTTAAACACATGAAAAATATTGGATATCAACATCAGCCCATATCAGTGCATCCCTGTTTCCAATATCTTTCCACAATTCTTAGTGCTGTTTCCAAAGTGCAGAAGTACATTGCCTTACCATCTGGGAAGAACCAGTCTGCGTGCTGGATGATGGGTTCAATTATGGCCACTACATGGACAGAGGTAGCAGCTGCCATTTCAGCAAGGGATCTAGAGACATAGCACAACAAAACACAACTCAAAAGAGAGAACAGAATCTGAAACACTGGGTCTGGGGACACTCCTCAAAGGTAAAGTTACACTACAGGCGGGAAAGTGTAATAACTGATCTGAACTCACCCCTCAGTCTTGGCCCACAGCAGGTTGGGTCCCAGTACAATGGCAATGTTGCTCGGGGTCATCTTATTGACCTCACTCTCCTGAGCTAACTTGGCAAGAAACTTTACTAGATACCTTTACAAACACAAGATAAGCTGTGTTACTGACAAATCAGATGCTTACAAACTACATAATTAAAGTAACTTCATCTACCTCAAATTAGACTTGTTGGCCTTTGGCAAATTGTCACATACCACCCACAGAGCCTGCAGCCTCTTATCTGGGTCAGAAATGCTGCACAGAGGGTGACAGAAAAAGGAAGCGAGGTTTTAGAATAAGCAGCACGAGTTGCAGTATGAGTCTGAAGAAGTGAACAAAACTCCAAGTGGTTTCTACGGATCTGATAGTGTCCCTGTGTGTGTGTGTGTATATATATATATATATATATATATATATATATACACACATATATAAAAATATATAAAAAAATGTATGTATTAATTGTTCATACTATATGCATGCATTGAACAATGCATATGATGCCATGTGTTATTTACTTCGATGCTTGAATCCACTCGTCATACAGCTGGAAGCTCATCAGAGGCTCAGGCAGTTCCCTCAGGTAAGACTTCAGGGCTCCTAGACATGGGAAAACAACAAAGAACAAACATGAAACACAGTCAATGTTTCTCATGGCAAGACTGAACTATCCTACAGTGCTTGCAGCAATATGACAAGCTTCAGTTTTCACCATGAAATCAGGTTACCAATAACTTTTTATCATATTTCAATTAGTACAACAATATATTAAAGTATAACAATAAAATAAAACCAAATACACATTCACAATATTGAAAAACATTTTTTAAACAACCAAAGTAGTACAAAATGGCATAGATGTTGTAGGAAATGTTGTTCTAAGTAATCTCATGCACAGACCAGCAGAATTAACACCACACACATATTCTGGCACAAAGAGCAACCTACAACCCCAGGGCATCACATGCTTTTTCCTCTTTGAGCAGAAGACCAAATGTGAACAAAAACGAAACATACCAGCTACAGCATGGGGGTCTGAGTAGAACTCCTCCAACTGGGAAGTGGAACAGTCCAGTGCTGCCTTAAGCTTCTTCAGTTTAGAGGCTCCTGCAGCGATACGGAACAATCCCTGCAACAAGAGAGTCCTTAAATGTACTACTAAATATTTACATAGATATTGAAACTACTGAATGTGGAAGAACATTGCTGATAATATATCAAATATAGAAATTTGATTCATTTGCACATGGAAGGAATTTTCACAATGATAAGAAAAGGTTTAGAAAGGAAGTGGCTGTCTTGTTTCACTACTATTATTAGAGGCAGTGGTCTGGGTGTAAAAGAAGAAAGGAGAAGTGAACTATACATTAACATCAACACTTGCGGTCACACTTCCACAGTCTCAAAGCCTGAAGCTAAAGTAAGGGTCCTTCATTCCAGGAGGTCTGAACAATAGGGCTGCACGACACAGACAAAAAATGCTCGATAAAGCTTGATCTGTTCAGTGAAGCTGTCGGATATCACAATGACAATAGGAGAAGTGATAAAGTGCCCCCTTGTGGAGAATTTGTACCCTGTGAAATCTGAGTTCCATGAGGTGCTTCAGTCTAAAACCAGTCGGGATTCTCTGAACAGCTTTTTTGTTCATGTTTGCACTTACAAACACAGGTTACAAACACAAAAAACGTATATTTTTATTTTCAAAATAGGCCTACAAAAATTAATAAATGTACTGTTGCTGTGAAAACTAAATCTCATCTCTCTTAAATGGTAAATTTATAGGAGAAACAAAAAAAAAAATGCTAGTTTGTAATGAAGGTTCTGGAAGAAAGCTTCTTATGATGATGCAGATTTATTTTGACAGTGGCCATCACTGCTTTAAACATTTTACCATACAGTCTATGCATTTTACAGAGAGTCAACACATTTTAAGCATTTTTGCAGGCTAGTAGTTCAGGATAGAGCGTTTTTGAGCTGTGAATGTAAGCTCATTGCAATATAGCCAAATGGTTAAGTTAATCATTCCCCATTTGGGAGAGCAGGGTTCAAGCCCATGCAGGGAAGTACTTGTTGGGCTTCTAAAGCTACAATCTGCTTATGTCACTTTGGTGCTCTGTGTGTGAGGTAATCCTGCCATTGAAGCACTCAATGATTCATGCCTCATGTACAATCATATTATGATCAAAATACAATTTATTCTGCAGCCCTACTAAACAGTATTGGGCAAAGGCCACACTTCTGGTAAACTGGAAAATTTATCCAGATGAACTATTCCCAAATACAGCTGATTATAACATTCTGAATGAAACAATGAAATAGAATATTTAGAAGGAAATTAAGACAGCAGCTGAATGTAACATAGTAATTTAATCGAACATATTTCTGCATATTGCAAATGCGATATATTCCAATATTATATTCCAATATATTTTAACACAATCCTTCATGTACTTGGCCTGCATTATTGTGATCAAAATTATGTTAGTTGAATGCCTTGATTTATCCAAACAAACATCATCTGAGATTGATCAGGATGCTCACAGCACACAATAAAACATTCAGTGCTCGTTTAAAAGCTCATTTCCATACTGCACACTTCTGTGATATCAGAATCGCAAATGTAGATGGCGTGATAACAATTCAGGAACAGAACACTGTGCTTCCCTAAACCCCAGCAGTTTCGTGTTTTTTTCCTGATCTAGTGCACATGATGTAATTTATCATCTAATTATCAAGACTTTATGACTTGAAAGAGATGTGCTGGAGCAGGAAAAACCACACCTCATTGGACCTTCACTAAAAACAGACGTCAGGTATGGAAGAGGGAGAAGGCAGCTTGGTCAATTTATGGAAAAATGTGTTCAGAATTGAGATGCTGTAATGGTTAAATCTAGGCTAAAAATTTAAGATTTAATTGAGAAACAGCTCCATGAACTCTTAACTGTAACTCTTAACTCTTAACTGGAACTCTTAACCTTGAATGATTATTGATGACGATGTATTTTATTTTTTTTTTATTTTAATTATATTTCTTATTATATATTAAAATGGCTAAAGGTTTAAAGGGTTTTGTTCCAGCAGTAATGATACTTTACTTTCCTTTACTGTACTTCTATTCTTTTTATATTAATTTAATGTTTTTATTATGTAAAGCTGCTTTGTGATATTTTTATGTGTTCTCTGTAGAGGATGTTTAAACTTATTTTCTCTTAGAAAATCAGCAAAACACATAATTTGACCAGTGGTTTTCAAACTTTTGCATACAACTGCAAATTGGTTAATCTACCATCAGTTATAACAGGTGGAGCCTGGAGCCATGGTTTCAATGTTTACTGTTCAGCAAATAAACTTTCGCATTGGCAGAACCGCTTTGAGTATCTTTGTGTATTTAAAGTAGTGGTGCAGGACTCCTAACGTTATATTCACCTACCGCTATGAATCACTCTTATTGACAATCATTTTCAGGTCTGATTTTGGTGGTCAAAATAAGTCAGTGATCAATCTTTTGAGTTTTAACCTGTATTACAGTCACTGCACTCTATTTATGGTTTATGGTGTGAAGTTCCAACTGAAAAAAGTAAAACTGAGTATTGGCCCTAAGACAGCGTTAAATGTCAATCATCATTAATGGTGCTGAAAATTCCATATCAGTGAATCCTTAATCTCAGGCCTTCGCTTATGCCCTGTAACATGTAATTTCGTGTGTTTTAGATTCTCTGTGTTGTTCAGTACCTCCTCTTTCATGCCAGTCTCCAGCAGCATCATCACGCATGCCTCTATAGGGAGAGCAATCTCTCTGTTACTGCGCTTCAAATGTTCCTCCAGTGCTGTGCCAAACGCTGGCTTCTCCGTCCACGTGTCTGTACAGCAGAAAGAGAGAGGGAACAAGCTTAGGCTATGTTTTATTGTCTGCCAGCACAGGTTGTATGATTTGAGTTATGACGAGAAGCAGTCAGAAATCATAACAGGCGAGTGTTTCCATTAGGATCCAGACGGCTCCACAGCGTGAGCTGATTTACACTCAGTATCGGACACGGATACCATGTGAACAGAGTCTGATGGGCCAACTGTTTGCCAAGCTTTGAGTGATTGACTACGATGACTTAACCTCATGGCACTGTAACAACATTCACCACTGTTTAACTCTCACTCATAGTAACTCAAGCTGAAAAGAACTTCAGGAACAGATGGAGAGAAGCACTTCTGCATTACAGCAGAGACAACTGCCAAAATACCAACCGACTCCCTTTCTAAACCTTGTCACTGTTCATTTTCATTTTAATCATTACTGTTAACAGAACTGCTACATGTCCTGTTTTCATCATGGGAATGTAAGCTTTGGTGAAAGCTCCATATTAAACCACTAGCAGGAGGATAAAGCAACGATTTCAGGGGACTGAAACAGGGCTGTCAAATACTCAGTTCTATTTTTATAACACGATATAAAAAAATCATTGATAACATTTCAGAATTTTATAATATTTTTAAATTGTATCACAATATTGCATATTTTATATTATTCTACATGTCCCTCTTACAAGACACAGAGCCTGACAGACTCATGTATATGCATTTTCAGCCCACATTCCACATTTTTTCATGTGTATCACAGGTCACTGGCACATTCTCAGAAATATTATTTTCTAATTAACTTACTGCACTTCATGTTTACCAGAAAAAAAAGATCCGCACAGATCACCTTTGGGTTCTGTCAATGTAAAAGACCAAAATCACTGTAGAATAAGAGTTCATTTCACACAAATGTATATCCACCTGTTATTTGTAGACAGCTAACATGAAATCTTAAGCGGAAAGAATTACATTAGACTACATTGTAGATCAAAGTTGCATGTAGCTAATTTAACTAATCTTCATTTTATATTATCGAAAAAAATAAAAAAACAAATGGACATAGTGACTTACCATGTATTTAATGTACGCTAAAAAAAATGGACTTCTCAACAACCCATAGCAAAGCGCTCAGAGTTATTTATAATCACTGTTCATGCTGAGTTTAAAAGGCGGAACAACAAAGTTGTTGTTTTCCATTACAGGTTTAATACTTCCTGAAAACAAGACATCCTGTTCAATACGCAGATTACAGCAAAACAAAAGAAGCAGAACACAAAGTTCCTGTTAGTGCGCCAACACTCCATTTATAGTCAAAAGTTTTTGAAATGACAAAAAAATTCACAAACAACCATGCGAAAGTGCAACCATTTTGGAGAACATTCGATTTCATGATGGATGTTATAATAATTTTATTCATAAGTTCATTTTAGTTGTTTTTATTTATTATCACATTTTTCAATTTCAGTGTTTTTTTCAGTGTTTTTCGGCTTCTGTTTCTGGCCCAGTATGTCCTGCATTTTGGTTTCAGCTTATTGGTTTCATTTAGATAGCACCATTCATACATTACAAATGTAGCTTGAAGTGTTTTACACTAAACAAGGAACACAAAACAAGGAAAAAATAAAAAGATGTACAAGAAATGAGTAAAATAGGCAAAAAATGTGACAAAATAAAAGCAATGACAAAAATACATTTTTGTGCAATTTATTGTTTTACTCATTACTCATACAGTCATATGCATATGTATGGGTGGCCATAAAATGTGGCTAGTGCAAAAGTTATGGCACCTTTTATACCTTGTTGGGTTATTTTGAGCAAATAAATAGAAATAAGAAAGTACAATTTACAGAATGCCATAGTAAGTATGCAATAAGTGTATTGTCTGTAGAGGATGTGTTAACTTATTTCCACTTAGGAAATCCACAAAACATGAGAAAAGATACATTTTATACCTTGCTGTGATCTGATGGTGGGCAGAAGGCTTTCAATGGAGACCAGAGATCTTCTGTGGTAGTCAGCCTGGGCCTCTAACAACTGATAAGCAAACAAAACTTCATTAACCATAACCATCACAAAAAGAACACAGAAGAAACATTTGATGAAAGCCAATTCTGACAATTAATTCCAGAAATTCTGCTGCCTTTGAAGCAGTAACTCAGCTCTTAAATGCAAAACACTAGGAAAATGCTTGAACTCAAGCTCCAGTAGGCTTGTGGATCTTTAGACAGCACAGGAAGAAACTCACCATGACATAATAACGAGCATATTCTCCCTCCTTGGAGGAGAAACTGTACATGTCAGCAGCCAGCTGATCCTAAAGAGAACAGATGGGGCAACACTTAATCAGCAAGAAAAGAATTCTGCAACGTGAGACATTTCATGTTTAACAAACACAATCTTAACAAAAACATGTCTGGCTGCTCAAGCTATGTAAGATCACAGCAGAATTAGACATGCAGGTAGTTTACTGAATTTCAGCTGAGAACACCAAACAAAAAGCACTGCTGTATGTACACTTCTAAATCAGTCCACTGTACTAAAGCCATTTCACTCATACAAGCAGGTGGGCAATATAGTGATATGTTATCATTTCTGTAATAAATCACATGACAATAGAGAGAGCTTGTAAATAGTAACAAACTGTGTAATTTAACTGCATAAACTGTATATTAACAGTGAGCTGATTGGATGTCCAATCCATGGAAATCCATGATTTTCCTCTTGTTCTTTCTTAAATATTTTATATTGCTAGCTTAGTTTATGTTGAATAAAAAAAAAAACTGAGGCGCTACTATTTTGTACTATTTTGTCCGCTCCACTCAGTTCACAAAATCTTGTGATTACATATTGTGTTGTGAAAATGTTGTGTAGTCCTGTGATCTTATATTACTACCATATCATCCATCATCTGAGAAGAACATATAAAGCGTATTGTTGTAAGCAAGCTCCATTGCCAGCACCCATTTCACTCATATATGCCAGAATAACTCTTCAATCAGCTTCAAATTAGACAACATAACAACAATCTTGTATTAATCTGCACTGCCTGTGTAAGTTGTCTTTCTACAACCAACCTACAATAAGCACTTTGTCCATTCCAGTCATAACCTGCCATGATTATCAGGCATAAGAAGAATGTGCTGGTGTAATTGCTCCTCAAGCTCCTACCTTTCACACACCCTATCTCAAGGTCATGAGGAGATAGTGAGACCCTCCCTCAAAAGTGAGAAAAAGTAAAACCCCTCTGCCATACCTTACATATCTCTACTTTGTTATGGGCTTCATCCATCTCCTCCTTGAGTGAGTCAGCTTTGGCAGCCATCGCCTGATTGTTTGTGGCTGTGAGAATCGCCTTGGTGGCCTGAAGATATCTGGATTAGACAACGACAAATGTGAAATGTGCACCAACACCACAATGTAATATAATGTAATCCATGTAATAAACATATAAGCATGTTTTACGCTGCATCCATGGTGTAATGATACTACATATACATTTGTGATGTTTGTATATGTTTGACATCACATTTGATTAATAGGTTTTATAGTCTCACACCGTTTCTCAAAAAAGAATATTAAAATGCATATCGTAACACTCTAGTTGTGTCAGATGTTCACATCATTATGGAATGAAAGGACTGTCCTTGTGCTCACCTTGCTCTTGCAGAATCATAATCCAGTACAAGCTTAGCTAGCTGCTTCCTCTGCTTCAAGATATTAGGAATGTCAACCTGTTGGCAGAAAAGGAACGTAGAAATGTGGACTTAATATAAGGCTCTATGCCATGGGAGTAATATATAAAGCAGGATTTCTCAGTAAAGCTGTATAGCTTTAGCCCAAAACGAGGACTGTCCAATAGAGATGTCCCTTGTGTCTTCTGTTGGACAGTCTTGACCTTTGGCTTTTATTATCTGCCTAACTTCATATATTGGGGGCAGTTTGAAGTTGGTAGTTGTGGTCACCTCTGCTAGTTGATTGAGTGGGTCCAGAATGTCTCTCTCCAGCTGGACCTCGTGTTGGCTCTGCTCATAGGCAAGCTTATTTTCAGCTTCCCCACACACCTCCATCATCTTCCTATATGGGATCACAGATACACATACACACTGTTAACAAAATGAAAAAAGACCAAATTGGACAGAATCCAAAATCCAAACATCAGGGGGTCATTTAAATGGGGCAATGCCACACCAACAAACCATCATGCCTCACTAAAACTCATAACTTTTTCTACATGCTTCTACAACAGGAGGCAAAAAGTTTGCATGCGCTGCTACTGCTTGCCTTGAGCATCTGATATAACTGCCAACACCAATTAAAACAGGAGGATTTTTGTGCACGAGGTGGCTGGTAGCCTAGTGGTAGGAGAAGTGAGCCATCAACTGGAAGGCTGTGGGTTCAAATCCCGTGACTGACTAGGTATACCTAGTTGTGCCCTTGGCCAAGACACTTAACCCCCACTACCCCAAGTGGTGCTGCTCTGCTGGTGATGCTGTGCTGCTCCCCAAGTGGGCATAGTTAGGCAGCAAAATGACAAATTTCCCTTGTATGACCAATAAAGAACATAACATCACTTTATCTTCGAACTGGCTGTCGACTCTTTTGCGTACCAACTCAGACTGAAAGCAAACGAGCTGTTCCTTTTTAAACGAAGATAAAAAATAGGCAGATCTTTTGACAATGTAGCTGAAAAATCACACGACCCTCCCTCCTAGATCTCCTTGGAACACGCCCCCTCATTATCCCCAAAAACCTACTTGTTGTGTTAGTTTGTCTTTGGTTTTGTTCTTGGTGGTTTTCATGCAATTCTTAGCCATGTTTCCAAGAGTGCCTCGTTAGTTCTTCTGATTTTTTTACTTTTATCTGATGACTGGCTGATTGATTTGGGTGCACTTTGCCCAGTCTACCCATCTTGTGATCCCTGCCTCTCGACATTCATCAAACATCAACATCTGACTTATTCCACTTTTTAATGATAGATAATATTGCTAACGTGGCTAATTTTGGTAAACAATGTTACTGAATAATGAACCATTTGGTACCTGAGAGAAGCAGCTCTTATTTGTGAGCTAAGCGTTCTTGTTGGTTTTAACCAGTGACAGGACTTTCAATAGTAATCTGTGACTTGTCATATTTGATGGGTTCTTTATACTGCAGAAACTATTTCAGAAACAATATATAAATACTGTAGTGCAGGTACAGAGTCTCCCTGAGCTCTTAGCATTTTTACTGGTTTGTTGGTCATTTTGATTATTTTGGTTGGTCTTATTTCTCAGAAGTTTTCTTGATAGAAATACTTTCTTTTGTGTCATAAACACAAAATATCCTCATGCTAAAGGGTCAGGTCTGTGTGTTTTTTACTTGTTTTTTTAACCACAAGGGTGTTTTATGTTCAAATCTACCAGTTCAGCATGTGTTGCTATGTGCAAGTGATAACCATGAGCTTAGAATGTTCAAAAACGCCTCACTTTGAGGTATCCGTTAATATTTATCCATTTCATTTCCATCTGTGGAAATTTCACAGACAATTCACAGGACATGAATATCAGCCAACCTATATATCAGTTCAGCTGTACAGAATGTTATGATGTACTGCTCTTCTGCTTCTGTATATATTTTACGTTGACGTGCAGAAGCTTAATCAGCCTGCTTTCTATTTTGACAGCTTCTGGTCCTTCTGTATTTTCTGGATGTTGCCACACTGTACAGCAAACACATTGTCTGCCTACAATAATATGTGACCTCACAGCTGTCATGCTGATTGTGTGGGTATGTGATCATCATGGGAGTAAGAAATCAAAGCAAAGAGAGCATAGAGACTGTTGCTTTAGCTGCTGCTCATTCAGCTTACTGACCAGCTACAGACTGTCATTACGGTAATAAATGAGAAAAGCACTGTTTTAATCAGGTCTACTGATTAAAACAACACTGCTCTTGAGAACTTTGTGCTTACAGAATTAGCCTATCTTCCGTTTTTTTAGAGGGAACTACAAATAGACAGACACTTCAGTTTCTCGCTTTCCTGCAGGCCTAGGATAACTCTAAAAGTGCTACCCAGCAGTTCCTGAAACTCAGACGCAGAGAAGACCTTCGTCTGGACAGTCAGTCTGCACTGTCAAAAAGTATTAAGTTCCTTTAAAATACATTAAAAACACTACAAATGATGCCTTGCTTTACTCTGCACACTTCATACTATTTTCTCTAGGCCCAAATCACACGTGAACTCACCCGATCATGGACTCATCTCCTAACTGGCTCCCTCCATCCAGCATGGCCTGAGAAAGGCCTGACAGAGGCAGCTTTTTCTGAAAAGAAAGACACATAAACATGAACCATGTCACACCATGCGCATACTCTGTGTAAAGTGTAAAGGAATTCTCCTGAACCCTAAACTTATCATTCAGTTATTAAACTTTATTCATTTAATATTCTATTGAGTAACTACTATGAATTATTTGATAACTACAATGCAACTATGTAAGTGTTGTAGTCACAACACTGAGAAACTGAGTGTTGGCCCACACAAGTACCCTTAGGGTTTAAGAGACTAAGACCCCAAATGGACCGGCAGTCATGTGACTGCTGTTTACTCACATGTCTCTTTTCCACATCTGTGCCCACGTGACCCTGCAGACAGGAGACCAATTTCTTGTGTGCATTATGTGAGGCCATCCGCACCGTCTCCATGCGGCGCTCAATCTGTAAACAGCATGTACAGTTTAACCTTTACTAATAAAACATGTATGCTTATTGTTTCTCACTCAGATCACTAAAAGGAGCAGAGAATTTCTGACAGAAGTGCAGGTTTTATTTGTATTATGACTGTAATATGATTTGAATATGGTGAAATTATTGTTATGAATACAATCTTGTTTTGCGGAGTGAAAACCCCAACTCTACGTTTCGCTATATTTTGGTCTTTTTCTTTTTACACTGATACTAACAGAGGGAGGTCAGAACTGGAGAATCAAACCCGTCAATACAGAAGGTAAATCAAATGTGCGGTACTGCACAAAAGTCAGAGACCACCCTTCATTTATTTAATGTCCAGGTAAAAAATTCATTAAGCACAAGCTATTCCTTTGTCAGGAGAAATTACTGAGGAGATTATATATGAAATAGTCCACTTGCATAGAAAGAGGCAAGTAGATAAAAAGTTCCAAAAATGTGAAAATGGGACCCCTAACAACAGTGTGACCATCAGATAAACAGCACTTAAAGCTTTCATCTTTGAGAGACAGCACAAAATCAAGCTCCACTCTTGCTTCAGATCTGCAAAAAATCCACAAGTGTCCCTGTCCTTATTTCCACTGTGAGAAGACAACTCAATATTATGGGTCTAAAAGGCTGGGTAGCTGTTAAGAAACTGTTATGAAAAAAAGGAAACCCCAGAGTCCAGACCTCAACATCAATGAATGAGTTTGAGATTACTTTGATCTTGCAAAGCAGAAAATGCAACCAAGTTCTAAGACCGAACTTTGGAGGTGTGGAAAAAACATTCCTGCAAATTTCTTTGTGAAACTAAAAGCAAGTTTCCCAAAAAGAATGTAAACTGTATTAAATGCAAAAGATGGGCACAGTAAATACTGAAAAATTTGTAACAAATGTGTTATTAGTTATTGTAGTTGTGTAATTATGTTATTGTAATTATGCCTACAATTAAACAGTATAGCAATAGCAAATGATAATAACTCCAGACTTCAAATGGCTAATGATATAATGTGTTGTACACACAATATAAGTAATATATATTCAGTCCAGCTTGCATGGTTCGCTAACATTTTAGTGGTCATTGCGTTGGATCTGGACAATGATATACCTTTTATTTGTTTTAGAAATGTTTTAGGAAAATGACTATTTCTAGTCTAGTCATATATTCAGGGCTATAGCACTGTGACTTGAATTTGATCTCTGGAATGCAAACATGTTAATGAACACTGACCAAAAAGGAAAGCCCTGCAAGAGCAAGAGCAATTTTTGTGTGTGTGTGACAGGATTTCAGTATGACTGGTACTTCGTGGTGCATTTTCTAGTCACCTCTCTCCCATTTTATTTTACCACTGCACACTTTATAGTAGGCGGTGTATCTCTTCCTACTATTTGTTTGAACAATAGTCCAGTGTCTGTTCCTCAAAATCTGCAGCCTATAGCTGTTCCTCTCTGGCTAGCTTCTACCTCACAGGAACCATGAAGCAGTTCATCTTTCACCCATTGATCAGCATGTCATAGGGCGTTTTCACACTTCGACCATTTCAGCATCTCAAGTGGACTCAGACAGCTGAGTCATGTGAACATGCCATATTAACTCAGAGAGCTCTAAACAGTCCCAAAATGAACTAAACTAAGACCACCTCTCGTTTTGCTGTCCGAATGATTTATGCATGGTGAAAACAAAACTGCTGCTTTGCGTTTTGCTTTCTGGTTAAAAGACCTCAAGGCTTATAGTACATAAATAGCCACAGTCTTCCACCACTTTAACAATCAAATATTACATATAAGATACTACTATTAAAGCCTGCTCTCGTGACAAGATAGCAGCGATGACTTACAGTGTCAGAAACCACATAAGTGAGTCTATTTGAGACGTGGTTTAGGCACACAGTTTGCAAGATTCTTATTGGTCAGGTATACAGTCTTTACAAAAGTTTGAACACCCTTGGACAAATTACACATCCTGTGAATTTTGTAAGTGAAAATAAGCTACACATTCACTAGAGAGAACAAACTTAATTCTACTATTTTTCTGCACATTTTGCTGAGTTTAGATTACTGGGAAAAAAAAAACATAACCTTTGAACTTTCGGCCAATTTCTTAGATATTTTTCTCAATATGTTCAATTCAGCAAATTTCACAGCAGTTGTGAATTAAAATATTCAAGGGTGTGTTCTCTGTAGAGAATGAGTCAACACTTTTCCACTTAGAAAACATGTAATTTGACCAGGGGCATGCAAATTCTTGCATACACCTGTAAGCAAAACTAAAGAAAAATAAAAAATTGAAAATTAAAGAAGCAAACTTCAGATACTAAAAATATCTTAGTTGAGATATGTATTGAGTTGGTAATATATTTCCATTACTGCTTGACACACACCAAACACTATGACCATCCACAAATGAAGTGGTCAATGTTAATTCTCTCATAACAACAGCACATATCAAGGTTTGGGATATATTAGATGGCAAACAAACAGTTGGTTCTCATAGTCGAGGTGTTGGATGTGAGAGAAACAGAAGATGTTAACACTTGAGTGACTTTGACAAGGGCCAAATCATTATGGCCAGATATCTGGGGCATCTCTGTAAAGGCAAGGCTTCTAGGATGCTCCTGGTCAGCAGTGCCGAGTACCTAAAGACAGTGGTCCGAGGAGGGTCAAACCAGGAACCAGCGACAGGATGCAGGGTGCTTAAAGCTCATCGATGCGCAAGGGTAACAAAGGCAATGCCGTCTGATCCGAAACGACAGAATGGCTACTGTGGCACAAGTCAGAGAAATTTTTTATTTTTACAGAAGGAATGTATCACAACATACAGTGCATCGCACCCTGCTGCATTATAGGGCTGTGTAGCTGCAGACTGGTCAGACTGTCCTTGCCAACCCCTGTCCACTGCTGAAAGCACCTATAATGGGCAACCTTGGAGCAATGGAAGAAGACTGCCTATTCCGATGAGTTCTGTTTTCTTTTACATCACGCAGACGGCCGGGTACATGTATACCGTTTACATGGCACCAGGATGCACTGTGGAAAGAGGACAATCCGGTGGATGGAGTGTGATGCTCTAGGCAATGCTCTGCTGGGAAACCTTGAGTTCAGGCCTTCATGTAGAGGTCAATTGGATACATGCCACCTTCATAGCAATGGTATTCCCCTATGGCATTGGCCTCTTTCAGCAGGATAATGTGCCCTGAAACACTACACACACATTGTTCAGGAATGGTTTGAAGAACACGTCAAAGAGTTCTAGGTTGCCCTGGCCTCCAAATTCCCCAGATGTCAACCCAATTGAGAACTTGTGGGATGTGCTGCAACGATGGCCTCTTTTCCACTGCCCAATGGTTCTCAGAGCTGTACTGTGCCTGTCTCATGCGAGCGGTTACAGTTTCTTTTTCCATCTGTGGTACCAATAAATCAGAACCAGGAAACACTGAATAAAAAACTACAGAAACGAATGGCTAACTAGTAACAGCTACATACACAGAACCCACCACAAAACATGTTTGATTTCATCTGTCACTCCAAAATCAGTCTTTCAGTGCACTCTCAGCTCCTTTATCCTCTAAACAGGTGGAATTTGAGCATCGGTTACCGAAACAGCCCGAACTGCAAAGGGTTAAACCTGTAGCCAGCTAACTTCACTAGTATTATCATCGCTTCAACTCAAAGCACCACAGACCAATTCTATTTTTTATACTTCTCTGATTTCAACACCATTCATTAAAATTTACACTGATAAGCCTTTATCCTCTAAACGAGTGTTTCTAAACATCAGTTAGCTGAAACCGAGTCTGTACTGCAGTGGGAAGCACCACATACTATTAACGTAGCCTAGCAGTCCACAGCTCTGTGTCGAGTCGCGTCTGTGTGGAAAAGCCAGTAGAAACTTTTCCCTCTGTGCTTAGAACCGTTCAGGCCTGCAGCAGAAAAGAGGCCAATAAGTCCGATCTGCAACGACTCAAGGATTTGCTACTAATATCTTGGTGTCAGACACCATAGGGCACCTTCAGAAGTCCTGTAGAGTCCATGCCTCAATGGGTCAGAGCTGTTTGGGCAGCACGAGGACCAACAGCACTTTAGGAAGGTGGTAATAATGTATTTCACCTACATATGTGCATATATTTCAACATATTGACATATACATGTGCATATATTGGCATATATCTAGCACATACATTTTAAAACATCAGATATACTGCACATATATTTTTACAATGAGCAAATATATGCATGGAGGGATAAGAAGACTTTAAAGCTATGACTCTCAGTCTTACTTCTTCTCTTTCTTAATGGCAGATGCAATCTGGCCCTACAGCACACAGCTGCCAGGAGGGTTCAGTCATGGTCATGGTCTACTATATGCACCTGAACCTACTTTGGCAGCGAGGGGCCACAGAAAAACCAGTTTTCTCATGCATACAGTTGGCCCAGCAACCAGGAAGTGTTTGCCAAGATTTTGCATGCACACACAAGAAAATCCCATACAGTGCCCAGTAATCCTACAGTTTCAGTCAATCAGCAGTGGAACTGAAACCGAAGAAGTCAGGGTTGTTTTTTTAAGGCTTCAAGTTCTGCTTTCAGCTAAAACTCATGTCCCTTTAGGGACAGAAATTTAAACGAAATTTTATGCAAGAAAGAGCAATCAGTTCTTGCAGCTGTGGTGTGCATTCAGTGCATGGCCTATAAAAGAAGGAGTGAAACAGCTAAAGAAAAGAAAGAGCAAAAAATAAGAATAACGTTCCAATCTAAACAGTATTTCCACAGAGAGGGGAAATGATGATGAGTCTAAAGCTGCCTGAGGCAGCACTGTCCATGCAGGGGTCAAACTCACAACATCCATCACAGAGGCACGGCCCATTACTGAACCCTCCTAGAAACAGGATGATCCAGAGTCAGTCTCCAAACTAAACCTTAAATCCTGGACAAGGCTGACATATCATTTGGATGATAAAATCACCTGTTAATAAGGTTGCATGGATTTATGGACATGGAAAGGAACCCATCAGATAAAGCATAAAACATCACTGTAAATTTTACAGAAGAAAAGCACATTCAGGAAAGTGATGCTATTTTGAGCAGAAACCAAACATAGTGTTGAGCACTAAGGTTTGTGTGTTCCAGTGTAAGTATGCTGGTTGCTGATTTACATCAGCATCGTTTGTTTTGTTTGTGCCCTGTTTTGAATTGTGTGTATGTTTCAATGTTTCCACGCTGGCTAAGCACTTTGCTAAGTATCGGCTGAAGCAGCAGCCGAGAGTTACTTCACCCCGTGGCTCAGACCAGCCCCTTGAGAATCTACACACCGCACCTTATGTTAGGTAAGACTTAACTTGGAACTGAAAATAAATGCTGATTGTGCTTTTGGAACTTCAACTTGCTTAAGTGCGACTCACTGAAGTAAAACAACCAAGGTAAAATGACTGGATATTACCGTTGAGCAGCTAGCTCCAGCCCTGAATCTTTCAGAAGGAGAGAAAGTTCCCCTGATGAAATTATAATAGTATAGGATTTTCCAAAAGCGCCTATACCTGAACTTCAGGTGGGGCTGTGTAATCGATAATCACGATATATGTCAAGCTAATTATTTTTAAATATAGGCCCTACCTACTCTACACTGCCCCTACAAGGCTTCCCAGGCCAGTCACTTGAGTGACTGTATGCCACTCCTTTGAGGTTTTCCTAGCCAGGCCAGGTATTTCCCTGCCAGGTGGGGAAATATGTGTCTGTTTCAGTGTGTTGTGGATTGCCTTGCTTATTGTTGATTGTGTATTTTATTAGTATTCTAACGTGTCCTTGGGTTTAAGAAAAGAACCATACAGAACAATTATTATTATTATTATTATTAAGGAATCTCTTATTTGAAAGTTACTTACTTGTTTTAAGGTTTAGTTTTAGGGTTAAGCCATAAGGTAATTTATACACAGCATGTTTTGAATTTATACCACTTAAGTCTATGTGAATTTTTTCTGTTTATTTGAGTTAAAAAAATTGAAAACTGAAAACTCATGTTTGACAATTCAATATTGACAACTACCAATCATATAAACAAAGCACTATTTAACTAAAACTATTGGACTCTCTTTTAATTTGGCCATATGAAATTATATCAGCCAATATTTTTGGTTATTCAAATTCTCGATTACTTAAAATCAGTATCAGTCAGAACCTAGTTAGAACAGAAAATGCCAAACTGCCCTCAAATCAGCAGCGAAGGGTGACCTCTACCAACCCCATTGATTACTCCATGCCTAGTAGTCCAGTATCAAGAGGACACACTACATCTCCTCCCCGCAGTTCTGTTTGACTTGTCTCGACAGCGTAAGTTTATGGAGCTGTTATTGGCCTGCCTTTCTTCACTGGTGCACCAAAGGCAAGTCGAAATGGAGAGTGAGCAGGCAGTTAAACTTCGACCCTTGGACCTGAAATGCATGAGTGGAGTTGGAGCACAGTGTATGAGGCCTGGCTGCACTCTCAGGTCTGGCAGGAACTGTTACTTTCCTTTTTGTTGGGGAAAAAAAAACTGGCAAGGCGTTCTTCAGTTACCACAGCCAACATGTTTGAACCTGAGTGCCATTTAAAACCTGTTGGGTTTGGACTGATGGATCTGAATGCTTGTTTCAATGTCAGTCTTGCAGCCTGTGTAAATATGCCTGTGGATGACATCACTAAAGATGGACTGGTAGGAATAGCTTAACTATTGCATCTCTTTACTGATGTCAGTTGCAGTAATTTTTAATGATCTCAGTAATTTGTACTCCCTAGGTTTTAGATCAATATGTAAAAAGAACAAATAAAGGGTTTAATTCCAAAAATGCATTAAATGTTGCTTTCATGAATTTTCCTTTTTCTTCATGATATACGTTGCTGGTAGTGGGCTTTACACATACTAGAAATCAGTGCTATGAGTAATACCACCTTTCAGTAAAGAAATAAAAATAGATTTTATGACAAAGTGTGTTATGTATCAGCTGTTATTCTTCCTTATTCAAACCACTCCTTGTTACAAATGAATATATAGCAATTTGGAATGAAACTCTTCAAATGTTCTTCATATAGGAAGGAAGCCACCATAGTTTCTAGATAACAGTGTTGACTAGTAGCTTAGAATTAGCCCTTTGATTCTGGGACACAGCCAGCGTGTTTCTAATTTAGTCACTTTCACTTAAATCACACAGTCACAGAGAAGTGTCCAGGCTAACTACTGCTAAAAGTCAAGTCTGCTTTCTTACACATGGTGGGCACAACCAATTGGATTCACTCACTCAATTACACGGTGACATCAAGGCTAGTATCAAATGACCAATGACTGCCTAGACTAAAAACGTAACTGCACTGAATCAAACTCTAATGTGTACATCATTTCGACATTTACATTTTAATTGGCTTAGATCAATAACTAGCATGCATATCTAGAGGTGCGTTGAAACAAGTATTTTCAGGCCTCCAGGCCTTCCAGCCATTCTAGGTTCTGAACGGGCTGTGTGCACTTACGTCAGTATGGCTTTAGTGAAAAGGCTAGAATAAAATCGACCAGCCATGCAGAGTAAGTGTGCTAAGTGCTGGATGATCGTGGCCTTGTGAACAGATCCATACTGGAGATTTTTGGGGACTTCTTTCTGTGAGATCTGCAATGAAGTCATACAGAACTATGCAAAAGAAAGAAGAGGTGAAAAAAGAGAAAAGCCATGAGGAGAGACTGAAGGTCAGCTGCAATAGGTTCGAGAGATGATTGCACTGAGACGGAGAGGGGTGTGGAGACTGGACAGATAAAGGTCTGGACTATTTCTTGGCAGCAGTGAGGAAAGCACCTCAGAAAGTGATATGATTGATTTGATTTGTAACTCAAAATCATTAAGAGAATCCCTTACTTGCATTAAAGAGCCGTGTCCTATATTTTTCTTGTATTTACTTCTTTCTCCTTTTGCTATGCCTTTAAAACTGATGTATGTATAAGAGCCCTGTTCTGTGTGGCTGTCCTATACTGTGCCTCATTCTGGGCTGAAACATTCCTTATAACATCATTGTGAATGGGCAGAGCTAAACTGCATGAACAGGAGGATGTATGTAAATGTGTTGGTTTTTGTGACATCACAAAAATAATTGAACTTAAAATGGATTGATTTTGCAGTTTAGTGTTATACATGGATCATAAATAGTGGTGAGTGAATGGTACATTTTGAAACAATGCTTGCATACTACATCAAACATTTTTTGGCTAAAAACTTGGAAATATTCCAGGATATAGGAGTCGAGCTGAAGTAGGTAGTGACTGAGAGTGACAGGCTGACATGCTAACTAAGCAATAAACAAAAAAGAGAGAATATTTACCTGTAGAAGGTCATCGCTGAGAACTTCTGTTTTCTCCGCTCTGAGAAAAAAAAAAGAACACAAGCAGTTAAATGGATGTTAAATTATAATACAGACACAAGAGTCTGAAGGGTCAATTCTGGAAAAAAATATGCAGAAATCTGACTGAGCTAGTATGTTTCTGCATTACAATGTGTGAATAATGTTCCAAAACAACTCTAACTACAACTCATTCCACTGTATTTCAAGGTCTCACTGCAACTAATAAGTAACTTCAGTGACCAATAAACCATAAGAATGCAAAAATTGCATAGGCAAGAATTAGTCCATGTCAGACCCTGTTGGAAAATCTCAGACGATGAGAAACGGATACAGTAAAGATGGTCAGTTTTATTAGCATCATTTTTCTTTTTGCCTTTCTATCTTTTATTTCATAACAGAGGTGGGTGATATGGCAAACATAATATCACGATACTTCAAGATACTTCAAGATGGACAGTAAGTCACAATATACATTTTTTGACATCTGATAAGTTGGAAAAGATGACATTTAAGCCATGACATTTATACTATCAAAAACTATAAATACAATAATGTGCAATAAACATTTCACATACTGAGCTGCACAAACTTCAACTGAACAGGGCTCATTATCCTCTCTTTGTAATCAAATATACACTTGGGAAGTGTTTTAAAAAGTACTGATGATACCCAAATATGCTCAGAAAGGCATCCTGTGATATAATGTGACATAATTTATTACAATAACAATAAATATTGTCGTTCTGATCAGCCCTAATCTAGAATTAACACAATCAACCGTGCTGTCTCATTATTTAAACACCACTTTCAGTCTCATTGCTCAGAAGTTTATGGGAATTTGCCTACAACATTTTGCTGCCATTATGCAAAGCATCTGTTAAAGGCCTTGCAGACCACATCATTTACAACTACAGCTCACAGATAAAGTCCGCTTAAGACACTCTCCTGTCAGAAAAAAAATCACTTCCTGCTTTCGGCATTCCACACTGTTTGTTATGGCAACAGGGAGAAAAGGGGTGGACACCTTCCACACTTTTCTCATCAGAGAGAGTAGATGTTAGAGAGGATGGGATGGTAGAAAGACTATCACAAAGCATATCTGAGCACCATGCAAAGAGGAATGCGCTAGGGGTGGGTGATATAGCAACTAGACAAATTATGCTCTCTTTGTAAATGGTTACTTAATTATTACAATAACAATAAATATTGTAATGTTGCCCAGTTTTAGAATGCACAATATCAGATTAGAAACGGGAAGCACAAAAGCACATTCTTCTTGCATTTATTTCCCCCAAGGTTCTCTTATGATGTTTGTTTCTTTATTCATTAGAATTAAACAGGCTGTTTTCTTTACTGCGCTTTTACATTTGTTATATGAAAATGACCTCTGTTCTGAGGTACTGCGTCATTCAAAAAGCAGTCTGGACTTGAACACTTCTCATAACGGAAACATGAATGAGTAGGTTAAACTGCATGAACAGGCTAAACTGCATGAACAGGCAGACAGACGACACCGTGCAAAGCACACGAGCAGAGAAAGTGCAGGCAAATAAGGTCCTGCAAAATCACTAAAAAAACAGAGAGAGAGAAAAAGAGAGAGAGAGAGAGAGAGAGAGAGAGAGAGAGAGAGAGAGAGAGAGAGAGAGAGAGAGAGAGAGATGAGAGATCCTTCTTTTGCACTGATTAGAAGATTATTTGTTTAGCAAATTATCCCCATTATTTCCTTCCTGTTAGACTTTAAGAACCTGGTCATCTTGAGAAAAATGCACAAGTTTGCACAAAATGCAAGATTTCCATAAAACACACAGTTAGACTTTGACAGTCTGCTGTTTCTACATATCTATTAGGGAAACAGTGGGACAGGCAAGTGTGCAAACCTCATTATAACAGTTCAAATCTCATTATAAAAGCACGTGCTCGCTTAAAAAGGTGCCAAAACGGTTATTTGGAGTGATGCACAGAAAAAACATTTTCGGTTCCCTAAAGAATGTTTCAGTGGACAGTTCTTTAAAGAATCGTTTTGTAAATGAGATGTGCGGCTGTGAAGAAACTTTTTAAAATTGCCACATAATATGGTCTAGGAAAAAAATTAAATTGGTGTGCTGATAAATAAATATTAATAAAGTGAAGAAATCAAGACTCAATCCACAGTAACCCAGTGTATTGAATATCGATTTGAAGTACTGTTCCGCAGTAAATAGGTCATTAAATGTTGGTTTGAAATATGGGTCAAATCTGAACATCTGTCCAATGCTGATATATTTTTAAGCAAATATCTGCCAATACCAGTATGATTCTGATAACATTGCGCATCCCCAATGCAGAGCTGTTACATTTGCAGTTAAAAAGATTCTTCACACTCATACATCTTTAAAGAACCATCCATCGAAAGACTTTTTACGGAACCAAAAATGGTTCTTCTACGGCATTGTCCCGAACACCCCTTTTAGGCACCTTTATTTTTAACAATGTAGTTACAATACTGTGACGACAACAAACTTACCACATCCCGTACCTAGCTCACAGCAGCAAGACCCTACGCCATTTATATCTGATATCAGCATGAGAAGCACACAGAGCACTGTAGATCGTTATTCTGGGCGCCAGCGTGTGAGAAACTGTTCTTGTGTTTAAAGCCAGCTCCATTTTACACCCCCCCATACTACCAATCATTTTACCTCAAGCACTAGAACAACAGCAGAGGTCTGGCAAACACACAGGCACACTTACACCAAATCCTGCTCTGCTCTTTTACTGGGGTGGTCAATAGGCTCCAGCTGCAGGCAGGAGATCATGTGTATTATAGTAGGCTGGGTGATGCAACAGTGCTAAGGCAGAAATATATATGATGCTGTAGTTCTGAGCCAGCATGCTAGTCATACTTGTCAGTTTCCCCATTAGGCTTCTGCATGTGCACAAGATTCTCTGCAGTCTAGATCAATGAAGATAAAGCCATTGCCTAATATTCAACTAACAGAAAGAAATGAGGCCTGCACTTTGGGCAGCCCTGCTTTAGATCATTTGGCCCATCAGAAATTTACCCTAACACCATAAATGATTTATTAAACTTCTATTCTTCTTTATATACATACATATATACATATATATATATATATATATATATATATATATATATATATATATATATATATATATATATATATATATACACACACACAAAAACTCATTCTGAAGCCTGTCCACCTTTATTTGCATATTGTTTTTTGTCTTTTTGGCCCTTTTCCCATCACAAACACTCTACGCCCCATCCCAAGACAAATTTTGGGCAGCCCTGGACTAGAGTGTATGGTGTGTCTAATACAGCCCACATTACAATACACACAAAAAATATGACAGTTTAAATTTACATGATTAAATGTGACAGATAGTTGCATACAAATAAAATGTGTTGATGTAATACATTTGAGTGCAACGAAATGCCAGATTTTAATCATGTAAATTCAACGTGTCATTTTTTTTCAGCGCACTAGAGACAAGGACAAAATAGCAGTACTGTTATTATATTGCTACACTTTGTACATTATTGCTGTACGTCTTGCAATAAATTTAAGAAGCAATGATAATTCAATAATGTTAATTAATAACTGGCCTGCATTACTTTGACCTAGGAACTTTGTGGGATTACAAGACCAGCTTGATTAATGAAAAAACAACCACAGAAACTCATTTGGAACTGCAACTGCTTAAGCACATAGTAAAAACACTGTGATTGATTACAGGACTCATTTGCATATCCCATCCTCTGTAGCTTCATTTGTACTGTAGAGCTGAATGGTTCCCACTAGGGCAGCACGATAAATCATATTTTTATCGTTAGCATGATATGAGCTTCTGTGATAAAAATATTGTTAAGAGCTGCGATGACAGAACAGATCAAATTACTTCATACACGCAGTACCAGAGAAACATCATTTCACTGCTGCACAAACCATCAGATAAGGCCAACAAGTGCTTCTCTGTGCTAAGCCTGAACCTTGCTCTCCCACAGAGAAGATGAGCTAAACAGCCAATCACAAAACACATGTGTACAGCTCACAAATTGCTCGATCCTGAACTACAAGCTGGTAAAAATGCATCAGACATTAGAATTGTTCTTTTTAATCAATGGTGCTTTTGTAATTTTGTATTTTGCTCTTGGTTTAACGAAGAGGCATCTCAAATTTCCATTTACACATCCAAAAAAAGTGTCTGTACTTGCGTCACGTCCAGTCAGAGACACACTATTTTAATGGTAATTTATCGCTTCTCATATGCTCATCCTGATATCCAAAAACTTTATCGAACATCGCATTTTATGTCCAAATCACAAGGTCCAATCACCACAGAACAGGACTGATTCCAGCTAACTGATGCTTCAATCAGTTTAGAGGACAAAGACTTAAATCTGAGTTGGCCAAGTCAAGCGGTGCTGGAGTGACAGGCTGTCACTGTGGGGCACAGAGCTGTTTGTTAGCTGCTGCGGAGTCACTGTCGTGTGTAGTTTTACTTCTGTATTTCCCACTTCTGATTTAGCAGCACAACAGACGAATGAAGAAATGGTGGTCGTTCACACAAGTATTTTTGGGCTGTTTTGAGGTGTGGCACAAGAGTGATGTGAATGTACAGCGAGTATTTTTTGACTGTGGTTTTAAAATTTAAAATAATACCAGATCATGAGGCACAAATGTGACATAAATGCACATAAATGTCCATACCGTGAAAATAATGAATCATAAACCTGGTCTCATGAATCCTATGCAAACGTGGGATTAGTTAACCATGTTAAAGAAACTATAAACTGTACTGCACTAATATGCTCTCTTTTTAATAAATCATGCAGTTCTTTAAGTACTGATGATATCCACAATATGCTCAGAAAAGTGTTTATGAGAATAATAAAAAATGTATCATGATAAATATAACATTTATATTGCCCACATCTACATACATCTTTCATTATTCTGGCTGAACTCACCACTACCGTGACCCTGAAATGAGTTCTGCGACCAAAGCTATAGC